TCGAAAACTAATTTTGTCAATCCTATTTTCAATACATGACTGGGCAGCTTACTCCAGTCTTGAATTGACCGCAAGAATAAAACATTGAAACAGGTGACTTCTGCATTTAAACTTAACTTTTGTTTTTCAATATATAGTTATTTCTCCTGTATCGTTCATAGGTAGGCCGGAAAATATATTTGTATTTAGAAATATCACCATAAATATAAAAAGAACTATGAAAAAGGCTTGAGACGGATGCACTGATGTCTCCGATACAAGGGTTTCCCAGTATAGTGATGACTGGATGATCTTCAGTTATACTGACTGAAGTTATCTTTTTCTTTTTTTTGTAATAAATCTGGCGGGGCGATTTTGTATTTTTTTTTTTTTAATTCGATCATTCAGGTTTTGTTTGAAGGAGCTTGAAATTCCACTCGCATATTCAAGTATAGGTCGCGCACGCGAAAAATCCAAGGTTTTTTTCACTGCTGGCGAGGGGCAGCTTAAAGGTTCGCTTCATAAATAATAATGATCGGCTAGTTTTTTGTCGCACGAGGTTACCTTGCCCTTGATAAAAATAGCAATGCTAAAATAGTCTGCTAATTTCGCATTTTTATAAAACAAAAACTAGACCCGAGTATACTTGGAATGTTGACGAAGCGCTCGTGTTCAATGCTTGTTTAGAGTGCATGACCAACCAATGGCGGCCGCACATAATCTACGCATCATTTCGAGAAGTTTCCACTGCTGCATAATGCCATAATTAGCTAAATAAAAATATTCTATATATCGAACTTCCTTACTCGCAAGTTTGCTATTCTCGTGTAGGTTTTCTATTGATACGCCTTGGATTCATTACCTTTAATTTGTTTCTATTTTAATTTTTTTGTATTTAAATCGGTATTATAGGTCTATTTATTTAGTTTTTTTTTTTCATTCATATTTGGTTGTTTATTTTCTTGCCCTCGAGATTGTGAGAGACACCTAATCCGGCTTTCTAGCTATAAAGTTTGGAAGCCCCTGCACCAAACAGACAGGAGCGCCGACTGACACTCCAGCGCGCTCTTCGTGCACCGAGTATTCCTCGGAACGCGAGTGACTTCTTCGCGCTCCGTGACGTCACGCCCACAAACAAGATGGCTGCGCTGACCGGAACGTTGTCGAGACGAATGGCGCTTCCCCGACCGCTGCCCCATTATTTCCTTTTGAAAGCCAAGACAGCAATTAGCGTTCCGGAAAACGTTTGTTCGTGCATCTCGACTGAAAACTAATTCATCTATCGAACGGTAGCGTGCAGATAGCTCAGCGACCGAAAGTCTGTCGAGATGAGGAGACATTCGGACCGCTGCCCTTTTCAGAATGCCTTGCTCAGCAACCAAAGATACTTCGATTGGAAAGCCGAAACAACAGTTAGCGTTGCGGAAAAGGTTTGTTCGTGCGCCTTGCCTGAAAAAGAATTCATCTATCGAACGGTAGCGTGTAGATAGTTCAGTGACAGAAAAGATCTCGATATGAAAAGACAGTCAGATCGCTGCCCTTTTTTAGAATGTTTAGCCCAGATAATAAAGATACTTAGATTGGAAAGCCGAAACATCAGTTAAAGTCGCGGAAAAGGTTTTATCAAACATTGCATGATCCTGAGAACGTTATATGGGCAGGAATGACACAAAAGATACAGGCAAGCTGTTGGACTTACAATATCGTGCAAACCCGTCATCAAGGAACAAGAAAGGAAAGGAGGACACAAACAACAATTTAGATTGTCGATTGTGTCACTTTTTTTTTTTTTCCATGATCTCGGGTTTCTACCGTTTTGAACTTCGCCTTGACGTCGCTTGGCCTCTATAGAGTCTACACTAATTTTGACTATCACCGTTCGATTTTTAACATTGAAAGACTCACCGGGATGATGGTGAAACAAGCCTACTACGACACAAACTTATACCCGTGCCACACGGGCAACTCGAATGCCATTTACAACGAATGACATTTAGGTGACCGGCGAATCAGCTCGCAATCTGTCGCGCGTGGAATGCGCTACGCTCGGAGTGTCGCGCGCTGATTGGGTATTAGACTAAACAAGATTACTAGTACACATCATAATACGGTACGGTACTAGTACTGTCAAGTGATTCACGAATACAGTTAAATGACACCTAATCCTATAAAGCAATGTCGTCGCATATACTCCATTCATCCATAATCTGAGACTGCAGTGGAAGCTATGTGTCCTCGGACCAATCATACGCCTCCCTTTCGCCACGTGATCATCCTCTCGCCCACACCCAGGCGCAGAGAGCAGGGTCAGGTGGTGAAAGGGACGCGGATGACTCATCCCACCGGCACGTAGTTCCCACCGCAGTCTCAGCTTATGAAGGAAAGGAGTGTAGTGAAATTGACGAACGGATTGTATTTCGGATTGACAAAGAAACGTCAAAATGACGCCTGACTGTATAATGAAATGACGTTAAAATGTTGAAATGACGGCTCAATTGTATTTCAGGCTGACGATTAGGACGTCAAAATGACGTCGGACCGTATGATGAGACGACGATAGAATGTAGAATTGACGGCTTAACTGTTTTTCCGGTTGACAAATGGGGTGCCAAAATGACACAAAACACCGTCATTCTGACGGCCAAAAACTTGGAAAATAGAGCTTCCAAGGCATTTCCCGTCAATTTGACGGAAAAGCTTTCACAGTGTAACATCACCGTCTTTTTTTTTTTTTTTAACTTACACTCTACAATTCAAAAAAGTCCCTAATTTATATTCGAAATAATTTCGGCTTCTGCGACCCGTATCCACGAGATGGCGGGTTCGTCACAATAAGTGCGGTCGGAAGTGGCTCACGCGGTTCGTCGATAGTTCCGGTATGTCCCGCTCCTGTATACGCTATGCTCGGTTTAGTTGCTGCGCTCGGAGTGTGACACTCGGAGCGTCGGAGCAGGAGTAAAGGAGCGCGGACTTAACGGGCCCAATCAATGCCTCGAGGGACACTCGGGTAGTGGCTCATGTCCAACCACTGCTGCGGTGAGAATAGCCGAGCTCTAGCAATGTCTGGAGCTCAGCGCGCGCTTTCTACTTCGCCAACCCCTGCTTGTGGCTACAGGATTAACGTTGACGGCATAGGATGAACACCAAACCACGTGGCCGCCTGATTTTTTTTTTTTTTTGGCCCTTGCCATTGATTAGAAAGAAAAGCCAAGGAAAGTTTATTCGGTTATCAACGTTAGGGAGCGATTCTAAGTAATATTCATTGGAAGCAGAACAATCGTTTGAAGCCCCTTTAAGTCGCGGTCACAGCGCTTTTATACGTGATGGGGATAAGCAGCCTAAAACGCGCGGATAGCGATAAAGAAACGCACACGACACGGCGGAGCCTTGTCCTGTCGTGTGCGTTTATCGCTCTCCGCGTGTTTTGAACTGTATATCCCCACCGTGTACAACAAGTCAGCGACCACCAAAACTGGCCCATTACCGCTCATTCACACTGGAAGCGGATCCGCGTTCGCAAAGCGGTTGCGAACGCGGTTGTATAAAGATCCAGTACAATTACACGCGCACTTGATGTCATCGAGTGCGCGTGCAATGGACCTTTTCCGAGAAGCGTTCTGCGCACGCGCGAGCGCCCGATGCCAAGCGGCGGAAGTCGGCACGAGAAATCGTGGAAATTCGGAAGGAGGCTGTGGATCAGCGAGTAGAACACGTAATTGCAGCATATATATAATTGTGTTACACAAAAAAAGAAAGTGGACGGAAAGAAAAACACGACGTTTGGGTAGACGCTACGGATTTCCCTCTTTAAAGTCGCGTTGGGCACGCGACGCAGCTCAGAGAGCGAAGCAACCGATAGCGTAGCTCCCGATATCGATTGGTAGCGCAGGTAGGTCACTTCCTCAATTTTTAGTTCGTGCAGCCACCACCTGGTGCCGTCGGTATTTGGAAAAGGTCCATTGCACGGCATCTTTATACAACCGCGTTCGCAACCGCTTTGCGAACGCCGATCCGCTTCCAGTGTGAATAAGCGGTTAGACCGATCTCAGCAGCCGGTTTTGCTACGCCACCGCTGCTGCTTTGCATCGAGAGAACTTCTTCACGTGCGACAACCTTACTGGAGCTCTCCGCGTACAGAGCCCGAGACGGCACGAGTCGTCTCGGGTACTTTCGCCTGCCTCCTGTGAACTAAAGTTATGGCGGCTTCAAGCGTGCGCCCAACGCTTAGTGAGATCGGTCTATTCATCACCACACTGCTATTATACATCGTACAAAGGACAGTCCGCTGACACTGTCTGAAGGTTGCTTCATCTTTATACGGCGGTCCCGTCACATTGATCATGTGCACAGACTGTCGGCAGACGTGTTCTAAGCATGAGTATATATATAAATGAAGCAAACGTGTCTACGCTCGAGGCGTCTACTGTCCTCATGTCTGCAGCGAACATAGCAGTGCCTCTTGCATGATTGGGCATGTACTCTGAGCGTGTATCGAACACGAGGGTTCCGTCAGCGTTCGGCGTGAACTCGGCTCAGCTCGTATCGAGAGCGAGTGCCTCGTTAGCGTTGGTTGCCGGACTCGGACCCAACCACACACTTCGTGCCCAAAGATGGACGGATGAATGCTAACGGCTGTACCATTTTTAATTGACGGTAGCTTGCGCCACCTAGCCTAGCAATTGAAAACTAAAAGTATAATATCTCGCTTCGCCTGGTGATAGTTACAATTTTGTAACTATCATTAGGCGTTGTGGGATATCACCAGGATGACTTTTGACCCAAAAAATGGAGATCGCCAGTGTTACCCAATCAGGTTTTCGAAAGGGGTCTATTGCAATTTCTGTTATCAAAACTAGACCCCCTCCCTTTTAGAAAAAACAAAAAAACAAAACGGAAATAGATTTGCAGTTTATTAGCGGTTGATCGGACCTATTACGAAGGAAAGGCAGCCAGTTCGTCAGCAGCAGCGCGCACAGCACAATACTCCCTGTACAACATTAAAGACCATATAGTCCTCTCACCTTCTCAAAAGAAATCGGAAAACGAAAGTCGAACGATGGTGTTTTCCACGAAGCACCTTGTCCATTCTACCCACGTAACACTCACATTTGCAAACAAGAACACTAGTAATGCCATTTATAGCACTCCCCACCCCCTTCGAAAACAAATCGCTGAATCGTAGATTATACCAACCAGGTCGTCTGGAAATTCCGCCGTCGAAGACAATGCCGACTCGGCGTCTCTGGGTAGCGTCACAGGCAAATGATACAACAACAGGCAAGGGCCGTCGACGATAAGCGACCCGCTGTGTTTTTCTCTTTGCTCGTACAAGACAGGTAAAAAGGGACTCCGCTATCGATAACTGGGCTCAAAGAAACAAAAGGGAGGGCCTCCGCGATAAACGTCACTCGCAGGCAGCGCGTCACTCAGTTGAGCAGACGGGGCGTCAAAACGGACTGAGCTGCGAAAGCTGGCAGATACAGGTGAGGCGCTCTCTCGCTCTCTCTCTCACTGTCTTTCTGTGACTGTGAACGCGAGGTGAGTTTCGCACATCCCGGGTTTGTCTCCGCGAGACCTCGAGACCATCGCTTGCATCCTTGCCCCGTGTCGCGTGTGCGCGCGTCGTAGTATAACTACTTTCCCCGGGAAGTGTTCGCTGTTCTTCTATACTTCGGCGAACTGAACTGGGAGAGACAGTGTTCCGAGTGGAGTTCCCCGTTTTAAACGTGAGCAGTCGAGATTTGTTTCATTTTCGAATAGTTCTGAAACTTCGGCATCTGATTCGGGGCTACATTTGGCCGGAAAATGAGTGTTCGGCAATACGTTGTTCATTCTAAACTTAAAAGAAAAAGAAAAAAGAAAACGTTGATTCTTTTTTTGGAACACTCTGTAGAATTAGATTTTTTTTTATTTCTTTTGAGACACACAGTGTTAAGCATGCGGCAATCTTTTTTTTTTTTTTTTTTCGAAGAAACGGAAGCAACGTGTGTCTCTCTTTCATCTGAAAAGATGAGAGCGGCAGCACGCCTGTTTTAGATGTTGAGACTTGAGCACGCGATTGCCGCCTTCCGCCGTGCTTTGGCAGCGCTCACGAGGCGCCAGTGTGTTATCGATGGCAGGAGTACGCGCAAAAGGCGGGATGACTGAAAAAAACCTCCCTGCTGTTTTTATTCTGTCAGTCTTACGAGCAGTGTTGACAAGTACTTCAAGTAAATTGTACATGGAGTACTGCATCGAGTAGATTTAGAAAAAAAATGACTTTACTTGGTGTACATTTCATGGGTATGTACACTTGTACATCACTTCAAGCATTCTTTCAGATGCTTTCCGAGGAAAGTACCCCTCCCGACTTGAAAGTACATTCCCCAAATTTGGTCTCTGTGAAATTAAGCTATTTCGAGGACCACACGTTCGCGTCCTCGACTTTCCCAGTACTATAAGCAGTATTAGAGGACAAGTATAAAAGCTCTAACAAAAAAAAAAAAAAAAAAAAAGAAGAGCATTGTTAAGTGAAAACACGCTCTCGTCTTTCGAGAGGTCATCCGGCCATTTCTCGGAGTGAAGTAATGGCGGCTCTAAGACCGATACGAATAGGTGCCTTACAAGTTGATTGCGTTAGCCGAAATAGTTCGTCTGTGAGAGTGAAACGGACTACTCCGTGGCCAGTTGATTTTATTCGCCGCCATTTTCAGAAATAACTGCAATGCACCCCGATCACCTCTCGGGCAATGCATACCGGTAAAAAAAAAAAAAAAAAAAAAAAAAAAAAAAAGAAATTGCATAGGGGAATGAGAGGGTATCATGAAAGATTGTGTTATAAAGCACTTGTAGCTTATTTCGGATGTGCATTGCATTTATAATCATTTACTTGAAGTACATCGTGCCTAGAGTACTTAAAGCTTTACTCGAAGTACATAACCTCTCATTTACTTTTTACTTTACTTCAAGTACTTTTTAGATGCCCTTTACACAACACTGGTCTATTGTGACGCCCAAGTGTAAACAAAAGCCTGATAACAGGTTTTATGCGTGGCTTTCGCGCAGTCTTGCACACGTTGCTCGAAAACAAGTGATAGATAACAATTACAAGTACCATTAGTTAAAAAGCATTCAATTAGGTTACTTGATTACTTGAGAAAAGGTAACCCTCACCTTTCCGATTGAAAACATGGTAGCGCTTTAGACGAAGACAAAGAAGGACACTGGACAACACAGAGCGCTGACTTCAACCGTTTAATCGTCGTGAATTGGGAACTGTATAGACTGCGCTCGTTTTCCTTTCAACCAATCCCAGGCCTCGAAGCTGCTCTCAAGAACGCTACTTCCCTATCTCTCAGGTCAATGGAGACAAGGCTGACACAACCTTCACCGGAACCTATAATCCCATCTGCTTCGGTTATCTCTCTTATGGTCTTAACCTAGTATTTGGCAAGAACAGTGCACGTGGCGAACAGAGTCCTACAGCCGCAGTCTTGACACTGAACTGACAGAGCCTTAACATAAAGAGCTATCGAGATGGCCATCTCTCACTTCACTGTCAAGACCGCGGCTGCAGGCCTCTGTTCAACAACTGCCCTGTTCTTGCCAAACAGAAGGATAAGACGATAGATAATCGATGCAGGCCTGATCCTACATTGACCTCATTGATATGTGTGTGTGTGCGCGTGTGTGCGTGCGTGCGTGCGTGTGCTTGTGCGTGTGCGTGTGCGTGTGCGCGCGCGTGCGCACGCGCGCGCGTGTGTGTGCGCGCGTGTGTTTAGGCGTTGTAAGAGAGCAGGGAAAAAAAAGTTAAAGCCATTCGTGTACGCGCACAATGCGCATTTGTCACTGGGGAGGTAGCATTCTTGCCAGCGGCGGCGAGGCCCGGGATTGGTTGAGGCCTGGGATTAGTTGAGGCCTGAAAGATATCGCAGTGTACATTCTTCCCAATTCACGAAGATTAAACGGCTGAGGTCAGCTCTCTGTGTGGTCCAGTATCCTCGTTTGTACCAACGTCTCAAGCGCTCTCATGTTTTTGAACACCTAGTATACCAACTCGCCCAACAATCTGCACTGATCAGTTTTCGATTCCTTCAGATTTTCAAAACAATTTTTGTTTTTCCGCAGGTTTGCAAACAATGGGGTCTTTCGTTCAGTCCATGACTGAGTTAAAATTACCGAATTATAAACTACTTATCATCTCAATCCACGATTTTGTTTAACGGCACCTTCCTGTCGGGGATGTGATTATAGGATTCCTTGGTGGGGAATTTGTACAAACAAAGGGCAAAGGGAGAAAAACATAGTTACGGCTGCAAGCAATGTTACTCGTACCAAAAGTAATAAGATTACTATCGTGAATACTTCCTAATAAATGTAATCAAATGAATACTAAATTACGCCGAAAAGTAATCGATTACAAATAATTTGATTACTTGTAATGAGAAAAGCACAAGTCTGCTTTCAGATAACGTCATTGCCGGTGGTCCTTCCCACTTGTTGTTGCCGAGAAAACACAAATTTGGTGGAGTGAATACGCCCACAGCAACAAGGCCGCCACAATGGTATCTGTTGCGACGTCAATGCTATAGCCATGTCTTGGATATTGAGAGTAGCGTTTGTTGTCTTTCGCTTCATTATTGTCGCTTTGTATCTGAGGCGGCACTCAAGCGTGTCCCCGCTTTATCTGTATGCTGATTAAGTTCGGAAATCGCGGCGGTCTCGTGGAGTGAAAGTTGTGTCTGCCTGGCTGCATGTACCGTTTTTGCATACTCGGCCTTCGTGTCCCGTGTGGTATGAGGACCGCGGCCTGTTGTTACTGATCCGCTGTACCACGGGTGCGATTTCGAACGATTCGTGTTGAAGTTCACAGGCAGCCATCGAAACACATCGATAAACCGCGACACGCTAGATCACCTAGGGGATCGGGGGACACTTAGAGAACGGCGGGAATAACGCGACGCGACCTTTTTGCGTCCAAACATTGAGCGGTGCAGGATATTGCACGACGGAGTTCAAAATGGGCGAAATATAGCTATTTGTTTTTTCGTTATGTTTTAGGGGCAAAGCTCCTTAGGGTCTAGCCTTGTCCGTCCGGCGTCCGTGCTCACATCGATTGCCATCCCGCTTGTCTGCTTAAAAAAAGAAAAAAAAAATGTTCGCGCAGTCGACAGGATTTGAACCTGCGCGGGGAGACCCCAATGGGATTCCCCATTGGGGTCTCCCCGTCCATCGCCTTAACCACTCGGCCACGGTTGCGGGTCGATTAGGGGGCTCTGAGATGTGGTTGTAACTGAAGAGCTGGGGATGTCATGGATGAAACGTTGCATGTAGCCGCTCAACGTCTATAGCACTACCTTTGAACAAAATCATCATCATCAGCGCCACCAGAGCTTCGCCCCAATCAACATCATTCACCACGTGGAGATGCGGTCATTTTTTTCAATTATGGAGCACAAATTTTAGATTGGTAAGGCAAATGTATAAATACGTTACCTGCAGGTCCCGTGTTTTCGAAGATTGTTTTCTCGTTAAATTCAAAGGGTTTTAAGAGTTCATTCTTTGCCAAAAATTTAATATTTATCGGAGTTTATTTATGATAGATTCCAAGTTTTCCAAAATTGAAAGCTTAATCTTCTTCTTGCGTGCCCAATTTTTTTCAAAATTAAATATAGAAACAAATATTATCCGGTAACAAAGCTTTTCTAAATTCATAACAACTCACCTGTGTCGAATGATATTTCTTCAGCTGGCTTGGGAATTTGCGCCCTTGCACTTTGCAATACTAACTGTAACATTACAAAACTTGCAAGCTAGTGTGTCCTTAATAAACGTCGATATTTTAATCCCCGAAATTTCCGACGTAATATCTGGAGAGCTCGTTTTCTACCACTCCTATTCTCCCGTTCCACCGGCGACTGAACGGGATGGAATGGTAGAATAGATGCACAAGTTAAGAAGCGTCAACTCTGTTAATTCATACATGGATTCCGCGCTTTGGTGCAGTTTACAGTGTTTTTTGTTCAGCATTTGGTAACATTATTAGATAAAATGCCTTCGCGAGCGTTTTGCTTTTACCAATCAAAATGCTAACGAATTATTCTTGGTGAAAGGAAGCAATCGCGAAGGCATTTGTAGAGTACAAGTGTTGTGCTTTCTGACTGCCATGCTCTGTGTGGAAAGGATGATGGAGCGACTACGGAAGTTTAGAAATGTAGGGTTTGAGTAACGGTTGTTTCGGGTGTGGTTGCAGCGCTCGCTTCAGCAGTACATTCATGGCGCGACCCTAACACGTTTGGTATTTTATAGGTTGTCCCTGAATAAAATTATTTTATCAATGTATAGAAAAAAAAAGCATTATAATTGGCCTGTTTGACACCGTCAAACTATCCTGTACCGCGGTGATGGTTAATGTTTTTTTTTTGTTAGGTTGGGCTGGTTGGGTTACGTAATATTAAAAAAAGATATTATAAAGCTTAAAAAAAACTTCGTTGAAGTAATATTTATCTCGAGGAACCGATGGCAGTTTGTTATACAATACAATTATTTGTTTACTTGAAAAAAAAAAACTGTATTCTTGTGGGATAGCTCTCTTATTTTTGCGAGGTGTGGGTTTGGAAACTATTTCGCGTACTGAAAGCGTAGCAACTGGAAGTGATATATTCATTTTATCCGCAGGAATGTTGTAATCGCGGGATTAACTTTCTATATCTTTAAAGTATATATTTCAAGATAACTTGGGTCATCGTAAAAATTAGCTCGTACACTATTTATTTATTTACAGGTACTCACGCTTTTTGATAGAGAATTTTGTATAATAAAAATGTTAAAGCAGAACAAAACGCAGTGTAAAATATTTATTTATTTAGGAGATGCTACCAGCCAACTTTTGAAGGCCAAAAAACGATGTAGAAAGAAAAATTAAAGAAAACAAAAGGTCAGTAAGGCAGATAGTTATACACGAACAATCAGTAAAACGAGTAAGTAGTTCAGTCCACTCTAACGAAGGAGAGTGAATCAATTGCGCTCGAAAATGCAGCACAAAAGACAATACCCGTCATGCAGTGGGGCTACTCGTTCTATTCGCAAACGGTACGCGGAAAAAATATTTTACGTTTTTTACTGCAACAAAATTCACGAATCAGTTTCTTATGCTTCTGTCTTGTGTCGCTGCTCACTTTATACTATACTTCGTTTCACCTTATGTTGTACCGCAGCAAAGGCTAGAAGCGCGAGCTCATAACGTTGGCAGCCGCTGTTAAGTCACGAGAGCTCGTACCGCCGAGATGTGCCCCACAGCAAGGAGCTCGCGCTTGTAGCCTTCTCTGCGGTACATCATGAGGTGAAACAGAGTATTAAGATTGTCATCAGACTTTAAAACAAGTTTTGTTAGGTATTAAACTATGGTGAAAAATTTAAGCGCTTACTTGCTTTGGACATCACAACTCAGGCAGTCCGAACGCACCCTACAACGATGAAATATGTGATTCTTAGCCATATGAATTATAAATGAAGTTAAGAACTATTTTTGAACTCTTTTCAACTGGTTTACATACGATTGTGAATGAGGGTCCCATAAGATTTCAGCATATTCTAAGTTATCATCTAAACATTTCTTATAAGAAACGCAAGCTATTTTGGAAAGCAGTATAATGTCATCTGCGAAAAATCTACACTGTATCGAGAGGTTATCTACCATCAAATCATTGATAAAAAAACTTTAAAAAAAAGCAATCCGAGTGTTAAGCCCTGGTGCACTCCATATAGAACGGGTAAATCAATGGATTCTGCTTTGCTCACAAACACAAACCGTTCACGGTTCGTAAGGGAAGAGAACCATTTAAAGGGGCAATCATTATCTAGTTGATGATTCAATTTGTGCAATAACTAGCGATGCGAAACTCTTTCGAACGCCTTTGCGAAATCTAAAAAAACAGCATAGACTTGACCATCATTATCTATTACTGTTGCAAAATTATCGACCGTGTGAAGAGGTTGTGTCGTTACAGAGTTTTAGGGGATCGTGTTTGCACATCCCATGTGGAACGATATGGGCCCTCCGGTACCAACTGCGCATGCGCTAGCACAGAAGAATCGCACATGCGCAGTTTAAATCGGAGGGCCCATCGTACCATATCAGATGTGTAAAAACGATTCCCTTAAAACTATCTATTATCGAGCCCCATGTACGGAACCCATGTCGTTAATCTATTCGAAACGTTGGAGATTCTAGAAAAGGTATGATGTGCTTGAAAATGAAATATTCAAGGGCCTTACTACATGTACTCAACAGGAACACTGGTCTACAATTGCAGACATTTTGTTTTTCTGTCCACTCGTTTATAAAGTGACTACTTTGGCCACTTTACAATCTTGTGGCGCCTTGCCCGTTTTTAAACTGAAAGAGTAAACCACGTGAAAAAAAACAAAAAACTTTGAACACACTTCGGCATACTTTTGTAGGAAAGCGTTAGGATTTTCCATCCTGGCCGGACGAGTTTCTAATGTCGATTCAAGGCTGTCAAGGATCCTTTTTGTCGAGACTGCCAAGTCACTGATGCCATGATTGTCATAAGAAAATGATGGCAACACTGTTCTCCATAGTGTACACTAATGAAGAAAACAATTGATTAAATGATCTAGTGATGCACTGCTCATTGGCAAGTGTCTGCCCGTTATGAGTAAACTACTCAATTGCTACACTTTTTTTGATTGTCAAAAGCGCCCAAATCATTCTTGGATTTTCTTTGAGGAAGTTGTGCCTTTTGATATTGCAGTAATTGTATTTGGATATGCGCACTAGGGCGCATAATTATTGTCAGAGAGAAGAAAGCAAAACATTTGAACTTGTTTGGTATCTTTCTACTCGATTTATATTTCATTTTAAAAGTAAAAGTTCACGCTTCACCGATGGACTCTTTCTTTCTTTTGATTGATCTCGCATGAACGAACTAGTCGACACATATAAAGAAACTTCTTTGAAAAAAGAATATCTACCGACGCCCCATTCTTCTAGGAAAAACCCAAGAAATATCTCAAAGGCCATTTCCAAGAAATCAAGAATATCGATATCATTTGTCCGAGTGAAATTACGATAACGCTTCCGTTCGGTTTCTAGATACACGTACCGCGGAGCAAAGAGATCGCAGACAACTAGTGCATGGCCAATATGCCTTCTGCGATTGATACATCAAGTACGCCTTTGGTAACTATATTAGTTGATGTTCGGCAATAGTTGTTTAGATAATGATGAATAAATAATGAAAAGATTAGGTACTGATAAATTAGATAATTACAATATTGACCAAAAAAAAGAAATTAGATAATGATAATAATATGTCTTCGTGAGCGCTAGAAAACAACACAAACTAAAAATCAAACAAGTCAGCCTCATGGCTAGAGGATTAAGTGTAGAATAAGCTTCTTTATGTAGTACACACAATTTTCAAGAGCGAGGCTTTTGCAATCGTTTCTGTGGAGCTTTGGTTTGGTTCGTGTATTGCGAATTTTGTGTCCGCTTACATATAACTAATTTATTCGTTTTATCGAAGTTTTTTTTTTCGTACTAGCTTGTCTCCTAATATTCTTCCTGAAGATTAGCCCGTATCTTAAGAAAATCATGCTACACAACCATTTAGTATGTTTTACTTTTTTTCCCTGTCGTGCAACTTCGGAAAGTCATATTACAAAGCGGTAGTGAAATTCATAGCATTTATAGCACCTCCTAGATCTCGGTGCCGCTGGATGTGTAGCCGAGCAGGGGAAGGCGTTGCGTCCATACAGCTCAAGTGCCTGGGCCGGTTTGCTGATGAAAGCGGCTGTCTCTCCCTGGTGGTTAAGATAGCTGCAAGAGCAGTTTTGATATCACGTGACCGGTTCCAAGGGGACAAGAAAACTTGCAAACGTATTTCTGGGAAAGGTCGTGTTAAGCGAGAGTTAAAGAAAACGACAGGTAAGGGTTGTATGTCTGCTGAGCAGAATCGGCTGAAACGCTAGGTACTTTCTTTTTACGGAGCCGGCAACGTGACTTGAAAATCCGTCTCGCGGCTACATTAACCGCCGGGAGAGAGAACCGCAGTCACCAGCAAAACCAGCAAACCGGCCCTGGCACAACCGGGTAGTGTATTCGGAAATGCTTGTGGAGTAAGACCACACAATCGATGCCGGCAAGCTGATTAGTGCGTTTTAATGAACGTCACATCGTCTGGTTTGCGGGGGAGGGGAAGGGGGCGCTTTTGTTTGACACAGGATAAACGGAAAACTGAAAACTCGTCAGAATCGACGCTATGCTGCCAGTTACCATCACCTGTGATGGCATGTCGTCAATCTCTCGTCTTTACGTATTGTGGACACTTATACCCTTGTTACACGGGCACACTTAACTGCAGTTACGCTAAACGACAATTAGCGCACAATACTTGCCGACAACATTCTGCGGCGATGCAGTCAGAGCTATGGGCGAACGTGCGCTTGAGCATCTTGAGCACCCATCAAAGCAGTGCACGCGCTCTCTTCACTTCTTTTGAAATAGCTGTCCGAGGGTATAGTGCGGCATCTGTGCTGTCACGTAACCGCAGTTAAAGCTGAGTTAACCGCGGTTAAGTGTGCCCGTGTAACAGGGGTATTAGATCGTGTTTAACTTGGTCAAGTCCAAAAAACAAAAACAAAAAACGAAGGTTGACGAATCTGGTATGAATACTTTAAGGAACCTTTTGAAAGCCTTGTAGACGTTTCGGCAAAAAGTCACTTAAAGAAACCTCTGCTGCAACTCTGAGGCTTCTAGACTGTACCTTTTAAGCTGAACTTGGTCACGGTGGTCCTAAGCGCCTACGAATAAGTGCTCATGATGTGTTACTCTCAGCAACTAAAAGCAGACAGAATCTCTGTATGAACCATTGAAATATGCTTCGAATGACCTAATATTGACATCGGTTGTGTCGCAGAAGTGAAACCCCTTGACAAGACGAAAACCAAGCCTCAGCAACGCCATGTCCAAGGCGGGGGTGAACAAGACCATCACCTTCAGCGCGTGCTCTATCCCCATGACCGACCTGGACAAGAGCCCGACCAGGAACACGGAGTTCCGACCACACAGCTCCAGTTGTTCAGGGAGGCTCGGAGAAGCAGACCGACCCAGGAAAAACCTGCTGGGAAGCAAGCGTTCGGGAAGCCTTTCTGCAGTTGGACAGGTACGGGAATCTTGAGAGGGAACCGTCGGCCAGATGAGCCTCTGATGCGGACACAACTGGTTATAAGTTATAACAGACGACGCCGTGTTTGTCGTGTTATAACTTATTACACGACAAGCACAGTGACGTCGTCTGCTTCGTGCCTAGCAGACAACCAAGTGAAGGTCGTCTGCTAGGCGCAGACTGGAAGAGCGAGAACGCCACCCCGCGCATGCATTGTGCATTCCCAGTGCGACGCATACGTGGCCCTGAGAGTATACAGAATAGCCAGCTGTGTCCACGACAGTGCTCGAGATTCGCGAGTTTAGACATGGGCCTTGTATTGTGAGTTTGAACAGGGACGCGGTAACTCTGTAACAAGGCGGAGGTGTAAACTACGTGTGACTGCTGTTTTGTTACAATCACGTCATGTGTTTGACGTCACGTGAAGTTGGTGGCGCCCTCTGAGGAACGGGTTCCTACACCTAGGTAGTGGACATCGCTTTCTTTAAAAAAAATGTTCTATTGTGTATAATTAACGAGTTGGTCGATACAATCCGTGATAACCGTAAATTGGTTTATAGTATTTTGCAATCTCTCAGATCTTAGAACGGCTTGCATAAAACCGATCATATATAACAAGAACCAGAAAGTGGGACATCTTATGACATCAGAGCAGCGAACTTTGTATTGAATAGTTCGCACTATCGCATAAGTTAACTGTGGTGCAGCCTCTGGTGGAGAGTGGAGACCGAACCGCTAAAGGGTTCGGTTCGTCTCTCCCTGATGCATTTGTTATTATAAAAGTGGTTGGATGTTGTATTTTGAACAAAATGTTGTATTTAGCACGTTGAATGTTGTACTTCTCGACAAAGTAAAGCACGTTCCAGAGTTCTGTAAGTCGGAAATAACAGTTATACCACCGAGGGACCCCACACTCGGTAAACATTGATTACACCAAAGTTGCTTTACAGTGTTTGAGTCTGTTCTGAATACCATCAAAATTATGACCCAGGCGAAAGTTAACACCGAGATGGGAGGATAACGGGACTAAAATATAACTTTCATGCGTTTACAGCATGCAAATAGGGCAAACAAAATCGTAGTTAAGCAATATTAAACCCAACCGCTTTCCAGCGCTCTCGTCAACGTGACCTAAGCAGAAACTATTGTTGAAGCGAAAAGTTCGTGTGCCTTCAAAAAATATAATGTCCCATTTCTTTGTTCGAAACCATTCACAGAGATACACAGCCTTGAGCTATCGCTCGTGTCTGTGTGGCGTTGACACGCGAGCCGCGATACGTGGAATGCGAAACTTTCCGTTGCGCACAACCGCACCAAATGCCAAAGACAAAAAAAAAAAAAAGAAAAAAAAAAACGCTTGACATTAACTATGAACACTAGCTCTACTGTAGTAGTGCGCAGAATGTTACAACAGTGCAGTGCTCTCGGGAATCGGGCAAAAAAAAAAAAAAAAAAAAAAGCGGCATCCCCAAAATATACCTCTTAAAAAAAAAAAAAGAATAAATAAATAAATAAAAAATGCGCGGAAGCAATCAAAAAGAAAACAAAAACCTGTATCGTCCCCAACACTACATGGAAACGCATATCCCTGTATCTCCGGTGTACGGTTCATTCGGAATTTTTAAGTGAACCGACGAATCTGGTTCGAGCTCGCGAGGCGCATCAACACAATGACACAACTGAGAACGTCGATAGACTTTGGTGCAAACCTTTGCGTTAAGATGATCTAATCTATCGAAAATGCCTATGCTCGGTGACGGGGAAGGACCCGGCAGATACTCAACCTCGAACGCCAGCTTTCTAGCTTTGATGGCTCTCCCTGGCACGCGCAGTCAACGCACGTTTGAGGGCAGCGTGCACGTACCGAAGGCCAAGTTTCAGCAAGATTCTGTTCAAGTTCAAGCAAGTTCGTCTGCTTCTTGCACAGGGGTGGCGGTGACGTCAGGACGCAGTGCTCTGATTGGCTCCGATTGAAAGGAGAGCGGGCAGACCTCAAGGCAGCTAGCATTGAGGTCTACCCACTATCCTTCAATCAGATCCAATCAGAGCTCGGCGTTCTGACGTCACTGGAACCCTTGGGCAAGAAGCAGACGAACTTTCGCTTCGCATAAAGACGTGCACGCCAGTTGCATCCATGGTCTCCGCCAGCCTAAGAAATGGAGGGGGCCTCCTATTACGTTCACGGTCCTTGCTTTGTGATTCGTCCTTCGGCGGTCGAAGAATGCCTGATTCTGATTGGCTCTGGAGCGATAATGAGATGCACGGAACTCGGCACGCCCTGCGTTTGTGAAACTGTCGGCGACTATCGACGTTTGCAAGTACGGCGTCTGGGCGCGACCATCTTGCTGCTGCTGTGGGTAGATCGTCTTATAGTCAAGCATTGATGAGGCGTACTCACGGTTTCCAGACTGGCACCTAAACAAAGCGGTTTCTATCCATGGTGGCCAAACTATTGGTCTAAGAGCGTGAGTGCTTGCAAACGACTATACAGCGTGCAAGTTCGTCTGCTTCTTGCACACCTCGAACGTTTTTTCCCTCTCAAATGCGCCCCCATGCGTATGTTGACCCCCAACCTTTACCAATGATGGCACAAGCTTGGCCGCCTCGTCATCGCACGTTCACTACGTTGCCTTTTGATTGGCGTGCCACTCCATGCGTTCCGATGCGTCAAATACGCATTTTAGAACAGTTGCTCGCCTAATAGGCTATGCCCAGTACCTTGACTTGGACATTAAGTGTCAGGGATAGCTGTTAACTAAACGAATATTTTTGTAACTATACAAGGGGAAATCAACGTCGTCTGGCACACAAATACGGTGCTATGATACGAGCTTTTCTTGGAATGTTGCGGTTCTGAACCTTGGCCCTGGGTGAGCCTGCAATATGTAGTCGATTGTGGTTATGCGGATGTCAATGATTAAGCAGGGTCTTTAATAGAGCACTGGCCTAACGTCCATTTAAAATATTTGAGATATTAGCCTAGTTCTGTTTATTTTGCCCTTTAGTTAGTTATAAATACGATGCTTTGTTTTAGGTTATATATATATATATATATATATATATATATATATATATATATATATATATATATATATATATTTGGAAGGAGTACATTATGGTTTTCGGGGTTTCGAAAACGCATTCAGCTTCGACGCAGATTTTTCCGTAACTTATCATCCGCATTCTGGCTCCGACAGCCTCATTCCTGTATCGCAAGCGGTAACATGCGCGTACCACCGCTCGATTCGTACACGCTCCAATTAAAAAAAAATATTTCCCCGCTCTAGTAGATGCTAACTACGTCAACAAGTTCCTAGCCGGAATCACACGTTTATTTTTACTAATCCGAAAGTTAAGTATGCAAACTTTAATTGAAGACTTAATTATCATACACACAGTAAACCTCCGCAGGATGGCCCCTCTTGGCAGACTCTATAGGTGTCGCCGGAGTCGCACTGCTAATACGTCATACAAAAAAAAAAAAAAAAAAAAAAAACACAAATACTTTGCAGACGCCATCAGCATACACTTTTTGAAGCCTGCGCACGTACGTAGCAAAGATGTTTCGACGAACACGCTTAAGTCGCGTCCGCAGATACGTTCTCTTATCATGTCTGCGGCAAAACTCCGTGTTTTTTTGTGTGTATGGTGCACGAACGCTGAGACTCAGGCTTAAATGCGGCACACATTGTTGCTTATCTGCGATGTGTACTTTTCGCGGGGAAAATTCGGCATGTTCTTCGCTGAAGCACCGATATAGACCGACTGGGCTTTCTGACGTCACACCACTGCGGTGGCACTGCTATCGGCACTGCGCATGCGCAGACTCTTACACAAATTATCAGCGAGTTTCAATAGAGTTTTTAATGTACTCTATAGGAATTCATTAGAAGCTCAGTTGAAAATCATGAGTGCTTTCTTTCTGTAAAGGGACGCTTCGCTTCACGCGAATCTCTCGGTTTGGGCAGACACGGGTTTGATTGTAAACGGTGTTTTTTTTTTTGGTTTTTTATGGATATACTTGAAGCTGCTTTTTCAACTAGTAATAGACAAGCGCCTTGCTGGCCTTAGCTCAAGTTAGAAAAGCAAAAACAAGATCAATTTGTATTTAGCAAATTGTATAACAAGCCTTTTTTTTTCTTTTTTTGCATAGAATGTTGACTTTTGGTGTCATGAAAACCAATTTATGCGGTTCACTGAACTAACGGAATTATGAAATATGAATCATGGCAGTGATTAAAGGTTTCACTCTGCGTTCTAGTCTTACAGGCTGAACGGCTGTCCAGCACAGCTTTCCCACAGAGAGAACAAACTCGACTTTTTCGCTACCCTTTTGTTCACAAACATTCGTTTTCGTTCACAAACATGAAGCGACCCGATTGATGACACACGAATCGTTTGTCAACAATTGGGTCGCTACATGTTTGTGAACAAGCAGTAGTGCAGTTCCTGTATACCAGCAGTTGTTCTAGGTTGACGATGATCAATTGTAAGAAATTTAGACAACAAGTTGTATTTGGGCCTTCTGCAAAAAATCATGTTCGCTCAAAGTTCCTCAGCTGAAGCTAGAGCCCTTAGCGGAAAAACCTAATGCAAAATAAAATAAAAAAAAAAAATTCCCGTCATCACTTGCACAGCGCATTAGTACGCGCCTTAGCCGAGGCTATATCCTCTAGTAAGTTAAAAAAAAAACGTAGGTCTTCTTGCGATACTTGAGTTGCAATTGTGACGCTCGGTGAACGTTTGTTTTCTAGTACTTATTTGTGAAGAAAATGAGCAGGAGGATGACTAGAATACGAAACTTTAGTGGCGGGTGTAGACAAGGAGCATGATGCCTCGACAGAGATAGCTCCGCTTTTATCGGTCAAGACGGGCAGCCAGAAATTCCAAAAATGTTGGTCCCCAATCGACCAGCATAAGGGACCCGCTATCGTTGTTTACGTCAGTTTTCAGTTCAGCGGTAGTTGAGACGCGCCACACTCCGCACTCTTGCGAACACAACAATTAACCACTTCACTTTGCAATCTCTCTATCAAGCGCTCCCCTTACCATTGTTTTCTAGCGACTTTAGATATCGCCAGCGGTGTAATCTTGTCCGGGCTATCCAACCGGACCGAATACGGGAGTTGCTTTCGCCGGAAGTGCGGCAAGCTGAAACCGAAGACGTAATCATCTGAGCCATTGTCTCGATAATTGACGTCTGCGCTTTGCAAAGAGGTCTCAATTACGGTCGGGGGGCAAAGAGGTAGCGTTCTTTACGAACACGTGAATTACACAATAAACGAATTTCACTAAGCGTTCGGCGCATGCGTGACACCGCCTAGTGACTTTAGTTTAGTGCAAAGGATGATGGCGGTGTGCGTGAGATGGCTCGTGACTTCCAACTTGTTTGTAAACAGAAAAAAGGAAAGACAAAAAAGAGCCAACGATGCCTCTCTATAGGTTCGCATCACAGCCCACGCCAATGGTCTTGCGGGGAGTGTGCGACCTTGTCTGAATTGTAAGGCTTTTCGCCCGGATGCTTTTCCGCTGCCGCGACTCGTGTCTTGAGACCGCTTCTTAGAAGAACCCATCGGTGACATGGGTGAGGACCGTGGCGCAAGGCGATGCCCCTCGCGTGTCCTCGCTGCGGCGCCGAGTGGACGCTACCCGCACTGCTCTTTGCTCTCGCTCAGGACAAAAGTCGGAGGACGCCCGAACGACGTTGCCCGAGGGTACGATCACCACTGTGCGATCCTGTGAGTTTGTCCAGAGTGTTTCAGTGTTCGCCATAATGTATGCGCCCATTATGTGCATCGACTTTACACGTGATTTTTCATCATGTTGTATATGATAGGGAAGTATCCCCATCATGAACGACGACTATACCAACTGGCCTGACTCACCACCACACTGCTAATACATCATACAAAATACAGACACTGTCTGAGACGTACTTTTTTTTTTTGTATGACGGTCATTGGTTAAACACAAACTGTCCGCGGACAACAGCAAACACACAGCCCAATATATGTATATATAAATTGGGCTGTGTTTGCCGTCGAACGAACGTATTCGTGCGGTTCATTTGTCACGAGCTGTCGCTCTTCGCCAAACAGTTGAGACCATTGATGTACGCTTGTGCTTGTATTTTCAAACTTTCAGCTAATTTCATTTTATCTTTCACCAAAAATTTTGCTTTTGAACTCTGCTCCAAAGCTGGGAACGCATTGCTCGCCGCCATAATAGCTGGAACCGCTGCGCATTCGAGAAATACGTCATTTCGGGCGCAGGGTATGTAAGGATTAAGTCAGCGTTCTTCGCAAGTTTCAACAGGCTATACTTGCCCGGCGATTTCTCGCCTTGAACCTTGAAGGACCCTTGTAACACCGGGCCCTTTTGAAACTTATTTGTAAAGCAAGAGATGCTTTTTAACGATTCGCCCATTCTTCAAATTTTGTCCGTTCGTCTGTACGTCCATCCGTCCGTCTGTCCTTGCATTTCCCGCTAAATTTAGCGGGAAAATCGATGTCACGTGACCTATACACGAATCGAGTTCCCCGTTAAATTTAGCGGGAAATTTAACATGATATGACATATACACCGATTTAGTTTCCCAGCTGAATGTGGCGAGGAATTCGATGTCATGTAACCTGACGACGCGTGAATGAACTATACGCCATTGTAATTTCCCGACTACATTTAGCGGGAAAATTGACGTCACGTGACCCCACGTCACTTTACCTTTACTTGTATATATATATATATATGTATATATTGGTGCCACATGACCGATACGATACAAGACTGTATAAAGTCTACTGAACAAATTAAAATGATCACTTCTTAAGTTTTGCATTTCGTCCATTATAGGACATTAAAAGTAAAAGTCGCTGCCATAGGTTTTTTCCTTTTTTTTTGCGGAGAGTCAGAAGCATTGTCGCCCGGCTCATGAGAGAGCAGACGTCAAAGTACCCCAGACCAAATGAAAGACAGAGGCATATAATTTCACTTGTAATTTCACACATGCTTCAAAATTGAAATATGAAGTAGATATATCCTGAAAACTACGTCAGTTTCTCTTGAGACGCGGAGCCGTACTCTATGTACAATTATACATAAAGCAGTAAACCTTTTGTTGAATCAGCTAGTCTTACCAGTGGTCATTGACGGAAAATTTGCAATCTGCGTTCTCTTCTCCCATTGGTGACCAGGCTGTGACTTCTGAGCTTACATATAAGAACCATGCTGAAGCACAGAAATGTGACATACTGGAAGCCAGGGAAAGCGATCCTGTATGTGGACAGCAGGCTTCAAAATCGGCGAGCCCTAAACGTTTTTTATCTGATGATATCTTTTTTACCGTTTTGCTATCAGGACTAATGTGGCCATGTACGCCCACTATTACAGTTCCTACGATGTCTTCGACAGGCTACCGAAGCCTTCAGCTTGGCTAGTTTGGTGCGATTAGCCAAGCCACATGCTCAGTTGTTTCAATATACGAGAAGTGGTTTGATAGAAAGAATCGAGTGCAACGTCCATTCAAATAAAGATTGCTAGTCCAAGAATTAATCTTACGAGAAAGATAACGACCAATAAACAGTAAATCGCTTTTTAGAGAGCGCTGAACCAGGAACAAGATATTAATCGACCTCAATGTCCACCATTCAGGTTTTCCCAATGTGGTGCTACTTCTGATTATATCACACGTGATTAATCTTCACTAGGCCATAAGGGGTGTCGAGATAGGTTATCATCGGTACGTTATCTTTAATTTGTTCTCTTGCAGAAGACAAACGGACAATTCTAAATACACGCAGTGCATCCTATCACCTTTTCGACTTACTACGGCAATCCGATGTACGGCGCACATTTACGAATAGAAGAAGCGGCTCATGTTGGTTTAGCACTTTGTGAATTCAGAACGCAAAGAAAGCAGGTCAATAACAAAACAGGGTATTTATCGAATTTGTGATGTGTTCGCTCTGTGGCTACAAGAAGGGAATGCGGATTTTCTAGAATGCATGGAGCATACGAACCGACACGAGCGTACATATATAGGAGCGGCCCCAAAATTCCTCGCTCAGTGCGCTGCAGGTGGTTTCAATGAGACATATTGCAGAATTTTCCAGAAAGGTGGATTACGTACAATGCAACTATCCATCCCAGGTGACAATTTTTTTTGTTGCTCTATTAAAAAAACGTATGTAGCTTAATCTTTCACAAGACATGGTCGAATGAACAAGTTCTTTTTTCTCCGCAGGGTCGATGTTGATGCCGATAATTATCTTTTCATTCGAGCCTGAGAAGTTACTTAGCTTACAAAACGAACAGTGCTCGATTTGTTCTCAGAATGAGCGGGATGTTTGTGTAAAGATGTTCAGTCACCAAGAGGAAGGGACAAAGTCCTAGCAAGTTTAGCTAAGTTTATATATACACGATGGCATCTTGAAGATAACTGGAATCCAGCTAGGTAGAGACCATAATAAATATCATTCCATTTGTACGCAGTGTGCGGTAAAAATCATCAAATTACAGATGTTAAAAATGTTAAAAAAAGTTACAATGGAGGGATTTCAAGTAGAATTAAGGGAAGTGAGGAATCCTGTGTTAAGCTTTCTCCTCTTGTACACCGTCAGTTTCTGGGACAGGTAACCGTTAGCCATTGCTCTTGCCGAGGATTGAGTGCGCGGTAGTTCGCTGTCCCGTATACCAGAACGGAAACTCTCTGCCGAAAAAAAAAAAAAAAAGGAAAGAAGAATTCCGCGCGATCTTTTGGACAGAGCACGTCCTGCGCTAGCTGTCAACTCCGCAAACCGGAAAGGCTGACTGCCACGGCCTGTATACCGCTGCACTCGTCGCAAGTGCGCTCGCTCAAAGTCACGTCCGCACGTGGGGGATTGTCTTCTGGGAGGTCCTGACAAGGTCGATGTAGAGGGCGACGCGTTGTTACCCCCGATGTTTACCACGTCCACGCCTCCGGCAGTTACCCTCCTCCCTCCCTCCCCCGCCCCCACCCGGGTTAGGTAAGCTGATGGTACGCTAGTGTGCCTCGTTTATAGCTACTGCCCTCGTTTCTCTGGAGTGTTGCTGTTTCGTTGCGCGTTTGGCTCAATGCGTCTACTCTCGACTTTTCGAACGAGATTCATGCATCTGCTAGAGCGATACCTGGAGGAGGTCACGACTTTTTTCTTTTTCGCATCGTATTTGGCGTCCGTGTAACTTTCGGTGCTGTTTAACCTGCACAGATCACGTGTTCTTTCGTGTTCATCCATTTGTTAGGGTTTGAGACTATTTCACGCTTTTAACTATTTCATCTGCTTCGTCGAATGTTGAACACTCTTGCGGCTCGGCGTATGTGGGGTGTTCTGGTCAGAAAAAGTGATGGCAGGAAAATATGTACACAGTCTAGAGTCCCACCATAGAAATTATATTGGTAAGGAAGCGCTATTGGACAGCCAGGCTTTTCGTGTGGATTGCTCGTCCTTGACGAAGAAGCCGTGCTGAGATTGCTTTCTTCCGTGGTCTGCTGTAAATGTTTGCTAAGTTCATCCCGAATGTTTCACGGTGCGCTTTTTCGGCGTGTGCAGGCAAAGCCTCCAGCTTCGCCGACTACGACGATGGACGAAAACCTCAACTCGCTGCCGGACATACGCGTCGGTACAGAGAACCTGACGTCTGACGATAGGCCCAACGGAAACGTGTTTACCATCACTCAACCGGTATCCAGCGGTAGGAACTCTCCGACCAACATGAGTTTCCGAATGAAGAACCTCCAGCCAGACAGCATATCCAGGGACAATGTAAGGCCAGGATCGTCGGAAGAGAGCTTAGAGTCCAACGGAGCCGCCGTACGGTAAGCTGTTTTTGTCTTGGGTGGTACGCCGAGTGATTTTCAGCTTTTGCGACTTTACTTATAGTAATAAGTGCGTTTTAGAACAGCGAAGAAGTTGAAAACTAGCCGTGCAACGTTTATTTTTAGGAGGGGAAACTAGTGGCGTATTCAGGAACCTTCTATGGGGGGGGGGGGGGGGGGGGGCGGGGGCGGGGGGGGGGGGGGGGGTGTTGTTGCCTGGGGTTTCCTTAAGGTGCGGGGAGGGGATGGGTGTCAAATGCACGTGTATGTTTCTGGTTGGCTAGATTTCGGGGGGCGGGGGGGGAGGGGGGGGGGGGAGGGGGCAAAAGGGAACGGAATTTATTTTTACAAAATCGGGTGTATAGGGCTTTACATTTTCAAATTGTAATCACCTTCAAAGTACTCTCTGCCTGGTGCAGTAAGTACACTTGTCGAGATGTTCCTTTAAAAGATCAAGACAACCTTTAAACTGGCCGATTTGAAGGCCCTTCAATGCTTCTGCCTTTTTAAAATTTTTGTTTTTCATTTTTTCATCGGCAAACTTTTTCTCTTTGACAACATCTTTTTTTTTTTTCATCCGGGGAAACAAAAAGAGAAGTCACATGGTGCGAGGTCGGGTGAATAGGAAGGTTGGGATACGGGAGGTCATGGCGTTTTTGGTCAAGAACTACTGAACATTCAGCGTGGTGTTGGCAGGCGCGTGGTTATTGTGGACGTACCAGTCTCGCCACAACTCGGGTTGTCATTCTGCTTACACTGCGCGGAGTGTTGAGCAGTTTTTAACCAAAAACGGCACGACCCTCGTACCGCTCCCTCTCTATTCACTCAACCCCGCCCCGTGACTTTTTTTGTTTCACCGGATGAAGAAAGTTATTAAAGGAAAATGGTTTGCCGGCGTAGAAGAAGTGAAACAAAGAACGGAGGAAGCACTGAAAGACATCCGAATTGACGAGTTTAAATTTTGAGCCTTGGAAGAAACGTATCAACAAGTGCATTAGACTGGGCGGAGATTGTTTTGAAAGTAACTTAAATTTGAACATGGTGTAGTTGTACCAGTGCGTAACAACGAGGACTAAGAAAAGAAACACAACACAGGACGAGCGCTCGTCCTGTGTTGTGTTTCTTTTCTTAGTCCTCGTTGTTACGTGCTGCTAGTCCTACACCACGTTTAAGTTTCACCAAGTAGCCCAGCTCCACTTTGTTAATATTTGAACGTTAAGAGAATACACGGTCTTGTAAATATTAAGGCCAGCTTCTTTTGGGTCCCCCTTCGTATAGATGATGGGAAAAGCGTTTTTTGTTTTTGTTTTTGGGGTTCATTATGGACAGGACTGACCGTAATATAGCGGCATTTATTGGAACAGGACGTAGTTGGTAATTATCGATTTCTAATTTTTTATTCTCAGCGCGACATCAGTATATATCTTTTCGACATCAGTATATATCAGTATATATCGATATCAGTATATATAAGTATATATCTCCTGAGGGAGCAGATATTAGTAAAACATCAATATCTGCTCCCTCAGGGGAGCAGATATTGATGATTTTAACCCAAATTTTGTAGCTTTTAATACTTTTGTTACTAATCTGTGAACTTTTTGTTTTGTATCATTACCAAGGCGTCAAGCTGTTCATGAGCACAGAAAATAAACAAATAAATGAATGAATGAATGAATCTTGCAGTAAAGATCATATAAAACAAACACGCAAAGATTTCAAAAGGGTGCAACGCAACCCACTTTCGTCAAATAACATTTACAGCAGATTTTTTAAAGTTTTCGATAGCTATGTAAAACTAGAAAACCTCTATGTATATTGATGTTATATGCACCGAGAAAACAGAGACGATTGTTTCTGAGGGTATTAAGATAAATGGCATCGTTGCTTGACATTTTGTGTCTGTCATGGCCTTCCAACTTAGTTGGCGTTTTTTATACAACTTGAAAAATAGCGATGTAGCTATAAATAAGTATGCAGTGAAAATCTCAGAAAAATTGAGCTTAACTTAAAGTTTCTTGCACAAGAGAGCATTAAGCCTGAAAAGAATTGACAAGCCAGTAAGCATAGGCAAATTTGCTTTAAGCCTGCCCTGCCCTGCCCTACAACTATACGATGGAACATAGAAGTATGACAGCGTTACCGGTTTTTTCGTGAACGCAGGAGAAATTTGACAACGCTGCTGAGTCTCATCTACGCCATCTTTCTCGTCACACTGGGATGCATCTTTACCTCGACATACCACGGGAAGCTGTTCAACATGAAGGAATACAATGAGGTACTTCTGTCTCTATCAACTGAAACTTCACTGGTTTTGTCACTTGACCCTGTTTAGACCTTATCAGAAATGGTCGCTCGGAATGCACCCTGTTAGCAGACATGAACGTGGGCTACCGAAGGGATGCGGGGGCGGGGGCGGGATGCTTTAAGATTGCGGAGCATAGGGCTGGACCCTACTGACGAGAAGATCGAATTACAGGGAGCGCTTCTTGTCCAACTTGTTTTCCACAAAGCTCGATGTTTACATAAGACCTGTGGACCCGATTCTTGACGTCATTTTCCTCGATCGATTGTGGTTAAAGATTAGAATAGAGTGCTGCGCTAGCGTTTGTCTGAGGGTCATGTTTAACTGGTGGTTCACCGAATGAACACAGGCACCAGTCAAACACTGACTGAGCGTTCGGCTACGTCAGCCGAGCGCTGTCGTTTATGTTGTCGTTGTGCCCATGGCTTTAGTTTTTAACTTAAGGGGGCGACGGTTGGATCTTCTGCCCAAGACCCTAGTGTCCCAACCACGGGTGCAAGTCCTCCGCCCCCCTCCCCCCCCCCCCCCCCCCCTTTTTGCATTGCACCTTTTTCTGACACCTATGAACAGAAAGCCCATCAGCGACAGACCGAGTTAAGGCAGTCTCTTTTCTTTTGAACAGATAATTAAGACCGTTTACTCTGGTTTAACACAAGAGTGGTAACGAAAATGTTCAGACGTTTCGCAGCCTTCACAGGTGACATCTTCATTACATACTGACACAACTAAGGCGAGGGGTCAACCAGTTATTATGTTTATCACAAACGTTCTCGTAAATGTCCGGCAGGGGACCACGGTTAGTGCTGCACACGAATGAGTCACGACGAATGAACCACGACTCATGCAGGTTCCTAGGGCCCCACAGCTGTTCTCGTCCCAGCGTCGCTGCATTGTTGTTGTTGCTGTTTATTGTGTCTAGGTCAAGCTTGTGCCCTGTCGTCCAGCAGCGATCGACAAGTTCCGTCTTTAATCTTGTCGCGTGGTCAAGGCCTCAACGCGATGAATCACGTTGAGGCCTTGACCACGTCTCTTTTGTGTTCCTTCCGTATCGGTGCACTGTTCACTCCTGTCTCGCCAATGTACGTAGCATCACGATCACCGCACTGCACTTTGTATACTACCCTACTCTGGACGTCCGCAGGGGTGCGGTCATTTGGCTTCGGGAACATGTTCGCCGGAGTGTAATGAGGTTTAAACACAGTTTGTATATACAACAGACGTAGGGCTTTTCTTACTGCGTCCGACACGTCCCGAACATATGGGATGCTTACCTGTATAGTCGGCGAAACACCTAAACATTTTTGTTGCCATCGTTGTGTTAAGCCAGAGTGGACGTTTTTGATCATGAATCCACCCGGCTTTATGAACGTTATTTTGCATTCTGAACAGATCTTCGGCTGCGTGGTGTGCGTGATCGGCGTCGCCTGGCTGGTGTTCCTTCACGTCGATCTGACCCGGTACAAGCTGCTCATCCTGGAGCGCATCAAAAAGACGCTCAAGGAGTACGAGGACCTGGCCGACAGGATCTCCCTGACCACCGAGTGCGTCATCAACGGCCAGTACGCCTGGTCCCCCAAAGCGCCCGAGGACGAAAACACCGAGGACCTCGTGCCCCACTACAGATTCCTCAAGGGACGACACAGCGGAAGCTTCTTCCTCAAGACCGGCATGGCGGGTAAGAACTTCCAGGTCATTCGTCGAAGTTAAATTCATAACACACGACACGAGTGCATGGGAATGCCCTCTTAAAGCCGCTGTCACATTACCTCGTACATCGTTCAAAAGACAGGGTGTTTCACCGTAAACATGAGGACAGAAGTATCTGCGGACACGCCCCAAGCATCTTGGAAGCTTGTTTGCTTCGTACGTGTCTGCAGACAGTTTTTGTATGCCGAAAATGACCGTCATACAAGGAAAAAACGCGCCTCAGGCAGTGTATTCAGGTTGTCTTGTGTACGATGCATTAGCAGCGTGACCATTCACGGCTCAGTGCTGATTCACACATTTTCGTTTGGTAGCAACCGATTGCGTCGTACAGCCTTGTGCTCTCTGGTTTGCGCTTACGACGAGAGAACACACTGGCACGCTGACGCCATCTATGAGTAAGCCCTGGAACTACTTTTGAACAGAAGCTGAAGTACTTTCCGAGAGATCCGAGTTAGGAATATACTTCTATGACTTTTTTGTCCCGTGAATTCGGTTATCGCACTTTTCTTGAGCAAAAATAAACGTAAACCGCATTTAAAAAAAAAAAAAAAAAAAAAAAAAAAAAAAAAAAAAAAAAACGTTGGTGCAGCGATGACGTCTGGGCATGCGGCGATCCCCTCTGCCGCCTGTTAGCTGTCCAGAGCGTCGTGACGTCATTGACGGCATCCCCGAGGCAGCTTAGTGGCGAGCAAGTGTCCTCTGACCCCCCCTGATGACGTCACTTTATCTAGTTTTTCTTTTCGCGCTCGCACTTTCCTACCGTCAGCGCGCCGTAACGGGCGTTCTACGTCGAACTTTTAAGTGGTTATTACGACGCTCCTATAAAAAAAGATCAAGATAAAACTTAAGATACATAATTTTTAAAGTGTCTAGATTACAACTTTTACTGTTTGTTCGAACTCGTGGACCTCTTCAGCTTCCCTTTGATTAGTAGATTGAAGGTTTTGCGGTACTTGCGCGATCGAATATACGTGCTATTGATGATGGACAGTCGTTTGAAACGTTGTCAATAGTTTTTTTTCCATGTCCAGATTAAAAGAACGATGCGCAGAAATGGAAGGGCATAATACGCAAATTGCAAGTGTTCCGGGGCTGCCCGATAGATGGCGCCAGTGTGCTTTCTCGTCGTGTAAGCCTCTACAAGGGGAGCCCAAGGCTGCACAACGCACTCGGTTTGTAGCCAAGCGCAAGCGTGTGAAGCAGCCTTTAAAAATCTTGCCGAAGCAATACCACCCTGGAGACCATTAAGGCCTGCGCTTTTTTCCCCAAACGTCATCGCAAGGGGTTCCACGCAGTGCCGCCTACGCGGAGCGCAAGTTCGTCTGCTCCTTGAACACGGGTTACATGTGACGTCAGAACGCCGAGCTCTGATTAGTTCTCTTGCCAAAAAAGTGGGTAGACCTCAATGCTATAACTGCCTCGTGATCGACCCGCTATCCTTCCAATCGGAGCCAATCAGAGCACGGTGTTCTGACGTCACTGCAACCCCCATGTCTCACTAGATCGCTGACTAGATTGCTGAAGATTGCCACGTCTTACTATACTAGATTGCTGAAGATTGCCGCGTCTAGCACGCGGCAAACTTTAGCTTTCCGGCGAGCTCTCGTCGGCCTTCAGCGTTCCTGCCTATTGGGGCCGGTCAAGGATCCGCTAACGATGACTGATCATTTGCAGGTTTTGTCTTCTAGGTGGTAGAGTGGCCGAAGACTTTTCTAAGATCAAAAGGTTCTCGGCTAGTTAAAGACAGTCAATTTTTGTAGATAAGCCTTGCTTGCACGCTCTAATTTGAATTTTTTGTTCGCTTGTTCGCCAGTGTTCTGCTCTGGACACATCATCCACGAAGGCCTGATGCTGTCCAAGGGAATCATCGACTGGAATAACGACCCGGAAAACTGCAGAGACGTAACCAACGTCCTTCTTCACACCTTGAGGCCCGTCTTTTCCTTCTACCAGCTCTTCATTGTTTTCAAGTACTCTAACGTAAGTGCGCCACATAGAATGCAAAGCAAGAATTGAGAGACGCGAGCCGGTGGCTTACGCTGACAAACTCCCGTTGACGTAATACTTCATGATATTTCCGTACACATCTATTGACGCACCTGAAGCATTTTAAACGTAAACCTCAGAGCTATTATATGACAGTATTGACCAAAGGACAACTTTCGATCGAAAAATAGTAGAAAATTGAAGCTTTGAAAAGTATAGCAACAGTAAATACTGCCACTCATAGTGTCTGGATACAACTATTTATTGCCCTGTATTTCGCATCAGAATTAAAAAAAGAAAAAGAGAGGGAAAAGGGAAAGAGGAAGTGTTAAACAAGGTCGCAAAAAAAAGCACCAGTAACGTGAAAACTACAAAGGCATCTAGCTGTCTACTTATACTAGTCCGCAGGAGGCGATTTCTGCAAAGGTCTATAAGACCTTTGCAGAAATCGCCTCCTGCGCGCTGCCATCTTTGTCTACTGGGCTGTGGAACGCCTTCCAAGCATGCGCTGTTGATCTGCTGTGCGGTATATCGGACGCTGCGCATGCGTCCACAGCTCAGTGACTCAGCATTTTTTTGCCCGCTCGCTTCGTTCGAGACTGCCGCTGGAAAGGTCGATAAAGTGTAGGTAGCTCACCAAACTCCGCAAAAACTGGGCAAATTCAGACAAATATTTTGGCCGGTGCCATCTTAATACTGATACGCTGCTCTGATGTGTTCACTATTTTGCAGAAGTGTCGATTCCCCTTGCTCTATTATTCTTTTCCACAGCGGATATTGTTAATGCCCTTTCCCGAAAAAAAAAATCCCATGTACGAACGCACAACCCTACTCCATAGCAAAGGGCACTGATCTCCCTCCCCCTGTCGTTCTTCACACGTACACGCCAACTACGGCCAACCTACGACAAGGCTCTCTCTCGCTCCTCTCCCCCCTTTTCCCCCCGTAGGCCGCCGCTGCTCTAATAAACCGACCGATCACGGGGGAGCACTCTCCGCCCCCCCCCCCCCCCCCCTACAATCGTTTTCACTACATCCACGTTTATCTAAATAAAAAAAAGAAAGACGTTTACAAATCTCTGTAACGCGAAATTAGAGCGCACTTCTTGAGGAGGAGGAGGAGGAGGGGAAGATACGGAGGGGCGGGTATGCTCCTTTTCCATACTCTCTCCTTCTACCCTCCTCTGCCTTCTTCCTCCTCATTCTCCCCTCCTCCTCTTCCCCTCCTCCTCCTGCCTACCCTCCAATTGTCCTCCTCCGTATCCTCCCCTCCTCCTCCTCTATACCCTCCCCTCCTCCCACTGTCTCCCCGCTAAATTTAGCTGAAAAAGTGACGTCACGTGACCTCAACACCAATTTAGTTTCCCCGCTAAATTTTGCGGAGAACTGAATTGCTGCTGATGTCACGTGACGTCAATTTTTCCGCTAAATTTAGCGCGGTTACGCCGACGCTGCAAAACACGGAAACGGGCACCTAAGAGCTGCGCTCTAGAAAGGCGACGTTGCGGGTATCGCGCTACACGCTAATTTATTGCAAATCCTTCTATGCAGCCGCTGCACCTTTTTTGTTATGTTTTAGTTTGATTCTCTCTTACAAATACACACATGATTTTATAAAGTCATTGTGCTGATTACTCTGAGTTTTGACGCAAAAATTTTCTTGTGCCTCGCAGATCGTGATAAACCGGTTCAAAGAAGTGGCCAGGTTCGGAGTGATGCACCTTATAGCGACGTCTCTCCATGCCTGGTTCAGCACAATTGTAGACGACGCAGTGAGCGGCCACGGTCATCACTCGGACCATGATAACCACCACTCAAGCAATCTCTCAAACCGTGAGTTATATTCCCGATTATTGTTGTCGACGTTTAGATTGTCCAGTTATATTGATTAATCTTTAACAAATGAAATAAAAACTAAAAAAATATCAGCCGCGAGCTAAAAAATGTATATATTATTTTGTTTTACTCCTTTAGAATGAAACTACTAGCCAATACCCTCTTTTTTTCTTTATATTATGTATTAAAAATAAGGAGCCTTTAGCAAAATCGTAATTTAAAACCATGCCGCAGTACATATTTGTAAAATCGCTAAGTAAGCTAAGACTAAGCAGCTGCGCACTACAGGTCTGTTCCGTGAACCCTGACATGACAATTGAAATCTAGATCGAGGTGTAAACATCCAAGGTAGAACGGGTATAACCTTCATTCTTAATTACATATTGTAATGGATCTATTTTTTAAACGTAAATATTGCTGATAACAATATCACTGTTTCTTTTTAATAGATGAGTATTTTTATGCTGTTGAAAACACAATTAATACTTTTTTTCAAATTTAAGAATACCTAACGCTGCCGATGCTCTTCTACGCAGACACCATGGAGACGGGGTGCGTCGGACAACAAAGCCCAATGTTCAGCTCAGCAGCATACCTCTATCCATGCACCATCGAATTCAACATTATCCTGGCCGGTGTGTGGTTCGTCGTTTGGCAGAACATCGGGAACATCCACCTCCACTCCAAGTCCCACCATCTGGAGCAAAAGATCGATGGGCCTGAGGGCAGCCACGAAATCACCTACGAAAGCAACCTGGTCATCAGCGCCGACTGCCACGCCGCGAACAAGGGCCTGTTTGCGGGAATTTTGGTTCTTCTGACGTCAATCATAACGGTCATCATCTTCTTCGTGGTCCTCCACAGCAGCAGTTTCCTAGTAGTAGGGAGCACCATCTACAACTGCCAAGAGGGCATCCTGACCGCCCTCGGACTGGCCGCGAGCATCGTGGCTTACTTCAAGGTCGTTCAGCTCGACCAGAACGCCCATCCTGTAACTTTCCTAGACAACTTCTTGCTCTTCATCCCTCTCCCTTTCTACTTCATCAACGCCATCCTCTGCATCATGGCGGAGCTCGACATGTTCGAAACCACCAGGATTGTTCTTCGGGTGGCTTCGCTCCTCCAGATCATCATCCAGACGCCCCTGCTTGTTGACGGACTGCGGCGTTGCAGCAACAGCCACGTACTCCGGTACCAGAAGCCTGGTCGCGAAATCATCACTTTCCTGCTCATCTTGAACGTAACTCAGTGGGTTGTCTTCACGGTTCAGCAAAAACACATTGACGATCTTATCGCTGCCAAGGTCGTCTACGGTGACCTGTGGGCCTTCATTGGGCATGCCACTATTCCAGTCATGCTCTTTTACAGGTTTCATTCCGCTGTTTGCCTTGCGGATATTTGGCAGTCCGCGTACTTCAAGGGAGAGTGATGATACTCTTCATCTAATTGCGAAGGACTTTGTTTTATTATTCACTTTCGAGCTCTCCGCTCGTGATCTTGTCCTGTGACAGGGACAATGGATATCCCCGGCTTAGGGATGAGACTTTGTATCGAAACCAAGCAGGCATACCGCCAGATACAAACCAAGAAACTCGGATAAAACGCCGACGCAAGTACGAGTCTCCAAAGAGCTCAAGAGAACAGGCACTGAAGCCAGTGTGGAAATGTACCGAATGGTTACGAAGATGTTGCAACGGTCAGCTGCAGACAGAAGATATCCACAACAGATGGCTCCATGAACTTTCTGAAAGGACCATCACGTGTGCGGGTCGGCGGAATACGTATCAGAGTTTCCGCAAGAGAGTACATTTTTGTCGTCCGAATGTTTACTATGTAGCAGGGGAATAATTTATTTATTGTATCGGAAGCGACTGCCAGGGCAGACATATTGGTGCCGCCCACTCCTATCATTTGAGCCAAAACAAGCCCGTAGGCGTTGTGAATAAACACTGTACAGCGTTGCCAGATTCTATGCGTTGAAGCATAGAAGTGCTACTGAGTTTGAAACCCAGCTCCACGACCAGAAAACGCCCGCACTGTGAATAAACGGCGTCAAGATATATTTGCTTGATTTGTTGTCTTTCGTTGGCACAGTCTTTATTTATACCGAGCCCTGCCACATGCTACAGACTCTGTTCCGCAACCATCCCCTGACCCTTGACACGGTGTTTGCTTCTGGAGTGCAAGCAGACATGCTGTACTTTTTCACCTTTGAAGAATCGTCAGGGTATGGTAACGTGAGCGCCAAAATTGACATAATGTTGTCACATCGCGGCGTCATGTGCTATCATAATGTCACGTGACGTCAAATTCTCCTCTAAATTTAGCGGGGAAATGCATGGACGAGCGAACGAACACAGTTTTAGGATCAGGGGGTTCTGTCGAAAAGTACTTTATGCTTTTAAGATACCTTGCTTTTATATTTCTAAAGTAGTAATCTAAGCAGGTTGAAAAACCAGCTTAGATTGCTATCCGCTGACAACAATCCGCACACACACACAGACACACACACAAAAGGATCAGCAACAACAAAACGTAGCTTTATTGAAATTCCGAATTCTTACTTTTTCATTACGCTCCTTTCAACGACTCGTGTAGCCTTGTCCCGACAGGCAGAGCTCGGCTGCGTTTCCTTTCTCCCAGTGGTATGTCTTTATTTGAAATCCCGCTTGCGTGAAATTAATTCGGATCCTGCCGAGTTCCATAGAATCTCTCGAATACGTGGATCACTCTATTGTAAGGTAAGGGCACGTCGCGGTCTCGAAGGCTTTTTTCGTGTATTTATTTTTCTTCTCGAAGGTCTGTCTACGGGAACGCGGTTGTAGACAAGCAGGTTAAAACATAAATAAAAAAATAAAAAAACAACGGAATATATAATACATTTGAACATTTTGTGGTTTTTGTAGCATTATTATAGGTACAGCTCGATCTAGGCGCTTTCAAGTATTTTTGCACACCCCTTGAAAAGAAGGTGGCGCCATCTCTCAGAGCCCTGGTAAAATAGGAAACCTTTGAATTCGACCGCTTGATCAACGCATTCGACAAACGTTATCTTGGCCACGCTTACTCCCCTTGGGTTGCGTGCTTACTGTCATGGTTGCTGAACACAGGCAAGCTTTAGGTGATCTCCCATCCTCGGCGATTTATAGTACGTGTCAAGATAGAAGCGCCGAAGTACAGGGACTAGGTGAAGAAGGTAACGACAACACGGAGGCGCTCCGTGTTGTTAGCTTCTTCACTTTGTCCCTGTCCTTTGGCGCGTCTATATACAGTCATGAAGCAACTAACGCAATTGAGCACTTTGTTATGCCACGTGACCAGCTAGTTCACGGCAGACATAAAACGATGCATTGGTAATATTGACGCAAAAACGTGTTTTTTTTTTTTTTTTGGTTGTGGTATCAGCCAAAGGTACTTCACCCCCCCCCCCCCCCCAAAAAAAAAAAAAGAAAAAGAAAAAAAAAGTGAACTTTTTCTTGGGTTGTAGCAACAAAAGTAGCTGGTCAAGTACTCTCATCGTGGACTCAAGACACACGCGCTCGAGAAGACCCAATGGTGTATACACTCGCAAAAAAAAAATCGTTAAAAAATAAAAAAAAAGTGAAAAGTCTTAAGTTGAATAATTTTCTAGAAAATTGTTGTCAATTGGAAGTGCGCGCTTTACGTTTTTTTTTTTTTTTGTTTTTACTTTGCTTTTTGGCGGTCGTAGTAAATCTCGTTAGTGGCAACCTTCTCTTTATAGACATGTTTTCTCTTCGATCCGGCGTTTATTGCAGCTTGCCATCTTACGCGCGAACAGCGGACTGTGCTCATTAGGGATGTCGGAAATATTTATCGAAACGGAGGTTCGACTCGGTCGGCGAATTTTCCACCTTTTAGTAAAATTTGACAAAGTTCGACTTACAAATAGTGTTGCTCTACTTCTCCACGAAATCTTCGTCTTAGGGTAAAAACAAAAAATAATTATATTATGCGAAACAATGAAACCATACACCGGATAAACTTCGCATCTTTCCTCCGTCAGGTGGCGTCGGTTCGTTTAAGATTTTTGCTCATGCGCATAACAGTCGATTTTGTTGCGAACTAGTTTTGCGAATTTTTTGCAAGCTTTGTGCTAGGAGTTGGCAGAAGTCGAACCAGGTCGACCTCGTGCCGCGATAAGTTCACGACATCCTACTTCGTTTCCCTTTAAGTCCGACTAAAATCACTGGCTCCGGGGAAAGTAGAGCCATTGATTTCCTCTCCTGCTAGCCGGACACAAAAAGATACTAACATACAGACGACCAAAATCTTGCAAGGCTCTAGGCTCATGTGCCTTAGTTGCCACGACGATCGCCATTTCGGTACAATAAAATCTTTGAAACTACGAAAGGGTCATTCCGAAATAGTCGCGCCAGGATCGCCATGGCGTATCATCGCGCTGAAACCGTTCCCCCACCAATATATAAATCTATTGGGCGCCGTGCTTGCAACCAACTTATCATTCACGCTTATCTCTACAAATAGTTTACAACAGTTTTGTCATTCATGCGTATCTCGAGATAGGTAAATTATTTCCCAATGCCGCCAAGCACCGGAAACGCGTGAGGTCGGTGCGACGATGAGCGCTCGTTTCGTCGGTGCGTTGATAACAAAAATCTCGGTATTTAAGAAACGTCTTTCCAAAAGCTACCCGTCACCGGGGAAGTTAGATCGGCTCATCGAGAACTGAGAGGTCGAGGAGAAACTGGTCATTCCACGAGGCAAAAATGATCACCGACTAAAACAACGTTACTAGAACAACTCACATGGGAACCTGCCATAGAGCCTGCTTTAAAAAAGTGTCTCCGATCAGTGCTCGAGAACGGAACTAAAGGCGATCGCAACGCCACCATTTCTCCCGCAGCGGCCAACCCCGGAACCGCAGGGTTGCAGGTCAAGTTGCGCAGGTCTCGGAAGGGCCGGTGGCGCCATCTCGCAGTGAAATTTAGCAGTAGCTATATAAATAAATTTTCATGTTTTGACTCGTCGCTAAAGGGTGGCGCTGTTTTCGTATTTAGTTTGGTCTCTGTGGACGTGAGCGGTTCGGGTTTCGAGGGTGACTTTCCCAACTGAGTGTTTTAGTAATGTTGGACTAAACCACACACGCTTATGTCCACTTTTTCATCGTGCACTTTTTCTGCGCGTGATCGGTTTAGCCGCTGACATCAGACGCACAAAGACGACGAGCATCATGACGATGCACTTTAGGCTCTGCTCGATTGGACCGGTCGGGTCGTGTCGTCAACTGCGGTCCGACTTGAAGTGAAACGGACCGTACTGCCTATTGTTTGAAACACGCGGGTTTCGACGACCGACACAACGGATGATGCGCATCTGGCAACCACGGCGCGTTGCCATGGCAACCGCCCTCGACCGTCGCAACTCAACACATTCCCAAATCCGGCGTCTGTTTTGCTCTGCCACGAGCTCGTACTGCCTTTATCCGGTACTGCTGCCGGACGGTATCAAGTGCACATTGAAAAGAAGAAGAAAAAAGAGTATTGTCAAGACCGTATCGTCTGGAAGCGTGCACATCAGGCGTCAGACGTTCGAGATGGAACTGAATTTAAACCGCGTAGATTACATTCAGGTGAGCTAAAATAACCCGTTTCATTCCTGCTCCATAATTAGGAGAATAGCGATATCGCGCGAATTGTTCACGGTTAACATATTTCGTTGTTCCGTGTACAGTTGTTTGACGCGTATAAATTGAGTGGATTAGGTACCAGTTAGTCAGTGCAATATTTTTTTTTCTACTTGCTTAGAATATTAATGTCTTGATGGCGTGCCTGCTTTGTGCTCTATGTTTACCGTGGACCATGAACTGCTCTCTGAACCTGTTATGTTAGTATCAAACATGTGAACAGCGTCTCTGCTTTGAACCTGAGTTCTTTTCGTTTTTGTTTGGGTGTGCGTGCATGCGTGTGTGTGTGTGTGTGTATTCTTTCTTATTAAAGTGTGCCAGCATTAAGATCGATAATATATTGCTTGAGTCTATAATAAACACTAGGGGAAGAATAAAAAGCAAGATGATTTGAATCGTGATTTCAATGACACCGGTTTTACTATGATGATTTAAAATAAACCTTATCTACAAAGATAATCTCCGAAATAATGTTTTGTACAGTCTTTGTTATCATTTGGTGCTCTTTGTGCGCATTTTTTTTTGTATTTATATTAAGAATTATTAAACTAGAAATATTTATAGCATGCTGAGCACGAACAAAAAGTGGCACTCTTCTGGGCAAATCACAGCGAACTTTCTTTCTACTTTCCACTTTGTGTGCCAGTTACGTAATATTCTATTGCAAGCAAATCAAAATGCGAAAGAGAAAAGAAAAGTAATGTTATATTGGAAACGAGGGAAGATGCGAAAAGAAGTTAATGTAGTTTTCTTCTCTAACTAAAGATATCAAGCATATTTTGTACGGCAAAGATTAAACAAATTAATTTTTTTTAAATTAAACAGTGCTTTAAAGTTATGAACTTTCAGTGACTTCCTTCTTCAGTGTTTTTTTTTTAGCGATCAGACCGGTTGATCAATCAATCTTTCATGTACGAAAACACATCTAGCGATAAATAATCACTTTTTTGAGGCTAGCTATTTACATAAAAGTATTTTGATGTAAACAAAATAAATCTGATTTATTTGATTCTAAATTATTTTGTGAACCTGATAAATAATAATTGATTGGTCATAATCATTATTATTATTGTTATTATAATTATTATCACTACTAAAATAGGGTGCACCAGTGTGAATCAGTGTCCCCATGCACATCTCAGAGGTAGACAGACCCACGCCTTTTAAAAACTGACGTCTAATTAAAATTTCAGCTGATAGCCGTATCAAAAGCTTACACCTATTATGGCACAGTGTTGTCCTTCCGGAACTTACGTCACCGTAGTATAAATCACACAAAAAAAAAATGCATTTAAAATTTTCTTTAAATATAATTTCCAGGTGGACGCCACGTGCAGCAAAGCTGCGAGACTGCTCCCCGCTTCCGAACACAAGGCTTGTCAAAAGGTGCGCGCCGTTCCCCGATTAGGTCCGGCACAGAGCGAGGCCTAGTCAAGCCGAGCTCACACTGTACGCCGCTCCCGTCACGTCTGGCGTACAAATAACCGTCTGCAGGCATGTACGAAGCATAGACATTTTTATGAAGCAAACATATAGACGCTTTGCAGCAGCTTTGCATGGAGGCCGCTATTACTGACCTTCAGTTTTTGTTTCCTCTTATTTCGTTTATTTCACTTCATCATTACCTTGGCAGGCAAGGTTATTGCCACATTAGATTTAACTGCGTCCTTTTCTAAAGCATCGGCCTCTGTAGAGGATCGTCAACTACCGTTTCAGTTGCTCGGCATCTCGGTAAGACAACAGAAGGTCAGCAATGGCGGCTGTAATTTGGCGCGTGTGTAAAGCGTCTATATGCTTCGAATATGCTTCAGGTGTGTCTGCATATGGTTCTGGTATCGTGTCTGTTGGCAACACCCTGTTGTCTTTTGTGTTGCCTCTTGTACGACGTAGGAGCGGTGGTACCGCGGCTATGGCTTGCCGGAGAAAATGACGCACTCATTCTCAGAAAGAATCTACGAAAGAATCTACCTTTCCAGCAAAGCACATTGGAGAGCTGATGGCTGTCATCTATACGGAGGGAGCTCGGCCAATGGCGAGTCTGAAGATAGGTTTATACCTAATAACAATACTCTCCGCTGAGACAGTGATCATCGTCACACGCCAAGCTCAATGTCACGGTGAAGACTGTTTTAAAGTAGTTTCCGTTTATGATTGGTCCGGCGATGATTGGGCACGTACGGAAACGTGACGAACATCGTGATGGTGCGATTTTGACGCTCTCTGATTGGTCCCGTCAGCTAGTAAGGAAGGCTGCGTCTGCACGTATGCTGAAACGAACTATAGTGCTTCACCGAGTTCCCCTCGATAGATTGCAGCGAGTGGCTCTTTCGAGTGCTTCGCAGGAAGGCGTGCGCACCAGGTTTCTTAGGGTGATTCGTCGATCAACGAGGCAGGAAAATGATGTATTCGTCTACGAGGCTCGACGTTTTCAGTGCCAACGGCTCCTAGCAAAATCAGAGCCTATGTGATAGCCTCCGGATCCGCTTTCACGTAACGTTCATCACCCTACGATGGCGCCAACTCTGCAATCGGGCCCGAGCCAAGAGCCGAGCATTCTTCTGCACACTGATTAGACGCGAGGGCGATCTTCCGCGTCCGCGCTCGATCTCCCTGCGTTGACGCCGAAATCTTAGTGCGCGGGCCTTGATGATTCGAGCCGGTGTTGGCAAAGCTCGAATCCTCGAAGATTGCGATTTTCTCTGAGAAACACAAAATCAGCTTGTCTCGGTGACCCAAGCGAGTTTGCGTAGTTCATATTCGTTGTACTCAAATTTGTTAATCTGTTACCAATTAGCGGTGCAGATACCACCAAGGAATAGTTTTGTAACAGTTTCTTTTGAACTAATGGTATGAGCCTTGTACGTTTGGGGTAGCACAGCCCATTCTCAATTAAACTCGTCAGCTCAGACGAATTGAATTAATGCCGCAAATGAACGTAATCACGAACGAACAATTTTTGTTTCGAGGGTGGTTTAATGTTAACAGCTTCGTTTTTACCCTTCTCGTTGCAGGTTGTTGTAGGAAGTCAGTCAGGAGTCCTCCATTGCTTTGGAATATCAAGGGGTCAAGTGGAGGTACGTGAACACTCGTAACAAAACAAATATCGATGAAAAAAACGTTTTGTCTTTGAAGTCTATAAAAAAATAAATAAAGATACAAAAAAAAATCCACGTCGTGGGTAAACCTCTGAAATTGTTTCTATTAACTGCATTTACCATTGTATTTTGCAACTTTCTCATTCCGTTATTAGGGATCCCCTGACCCCCACCACGTGATCGCTGTGGCGCCATATAAAAATCATTTTTGTATAGATAGACCATTCCAAGATTTGTCTTCTGTGCACACTGGCATGCGTGTCTACTGTGCTGTACTAAGCGTTCGAGCACGCGTAGTCGGTTTCTTCAGTGGAAAATCTGACGCCACAGGTGCGCTCCTGCCCAGTGACTCGGCATTTTTTGTTTCGTTGACAAGCGCTCTAAAAGTGCATGAGTGCTTCAGCCTTTTTCTAAATCCCATAGCCTCTTTCATTTCATTGTTCTAGCAGAGTGTTACAACAAAGGTTGTTATCACAATCATCCTTCGGTGTTTTGCGCAGACCATCTTTAAGACGCTTCCTGGAAAGTCCGTCAGTCGGGTCGAACTAGGCGGAGCCGTGGGCAGCATTCAGGACAAAATATTCATGGCGGCGGGCAACGAAGTATGTGGTTACACGCGCAAAGGAAAACAGTTCCTCAAGTTTGACACCAACATCACCGACACCATACGATGCATGTGAGCAGCGTCTTTCCATTTTCCCCGGTTTGGGGCGGGAGGGAGGGGGGGGGGGGGGGTTCTGCGCGCGTTACCTTCTCGCCAGAACTGGAGATTGAAGCTAACAAAAGCACGCTGGCATTCCATTTCCCATGTATTTTGTCAATAAAGGCAACGTGGGCGTTATTTTGATTACATGGCACTACTGGGGGGGAAGCGTGTTACATCGCACGTAAACAGCGTCTAGGTAAGGATCATGGCCCGGGCCCGGGGGGGGGGGGGGGGGGGGGTGGTTCTGCCCGATGGCCTCTTGTAGTCTACGCCTATGCATGTGAGTATCTTGGCATAGCCGGGAAACAGAGGAAAGATGAAAGATCCATTGGACAAGAGATGCTTTGTGTACTGGGTGCGTATCGTTTCGTCGAAAGAACTTTTGCATAAAAAACAAATAGCTGGAAAACTTTCCTTGTACAGACGTTTCATTGGTAATGTATTTTGTCTTTACTAAGTGTACGATAAAATCCTGAAGTCGCTAAAGGCAACCATGTGAATCACTTAGGCTCGTTTACCTAAGGCCCCCCCCCCCCCCCTTCCTTTATTTTTCCCCACGTAAACCAGGCGATAACAGTAGGGTCGTGTTGAATGAAACGTCTGAACGTCTGTGGATGAAACGAACTGTCAATGGAACGTCTTATGTAGACGAACTTATGACCACCACTGTGTCCTTATGTCCTTCAGGAGCGTGTGCGGAAACGATCTGATGGTTTGCGGGGAGTATGTGTACAACCACTACTTCGAGTGCCAGGACAAAAATTACTTTCTCTCCGGAGGCAGAATTAACGACATGATTGTCCTTCCGGCCGAGAAGCTCAAGACCCTCGTGCCTGTCCTGGCATGCCAGGACAGGCTTCTCAGAGTTCTCAAGGTACGCCTTCTCTTGTAGCGTCTTTTGCTAACAATAATCACACTCGATAATAGACGTAAAGAGCACGCTTTGGCTCCTTGTACATAGCAGGAGTTCGACCTAACCCTAAATTAGCTGTATGATAAAGAGAACATGATTGTGGTAGATTGTAATTGGACGCAGAACACAATTAATAACTCCATGGAGGTAGCGGGAGAAAAAAAAGTGTCTGCTGCTTTGATTATAGCAGCTGTGAGGTTCCAAAGGTCACTAGGCGCAGGCCGTTGTCTGGACAGCCTTATACGAGGAGCGCAAGTTCGTATGTTTCCTTTGCAGTGACTGTAGTGACGCTAGAATGCTAAGCTTTGATTGGCTCTGAATGAAGGATAATGGGTAGACCTCGAGGCAGCTTGCTTTGAGGTCTACTCACTATCCTTCAACGAGAGCCAATAAGAGCTTGGCTGTCTGATGTCCTCACCGAACCTGCAAAAGAAGCAGACGAACTTGCGCTTCGTGTAGGACGGCGGCCGAATATAGGTGCCTATCAAGCGCCATTCACACATATGCGACCGAGTAAGACCGAGAGACCAGACCGGTTTATAAGCCTCTTGCGACGTCTTAAGGCCCGTTCACACTCTTGCGACCGAGTTAGACCGAGAGAGACCAAACTGGTTTTTAAGCTTCTTGCGACTTCTTAGGACCAGCTCCGCTGCATCGCATCCGGTCCTAAGAAGTCGCAAAAGGCTTAAAAACCGGTCTGGTCTCTCTTGGTCGAAGTAGGTCGCAAGGGTGTGAACGGGCCTTTAGGACTGGATGCGCCGCTGCGGAGCTGGTTCTAAAGGCCCGTTCACACTCTTGCGACCGAGTTAGACCGAGAGAGACCAAACTGGTTTTTAAGCTTCTTGCGACTTCTTAGGACCAGCTCCGCTGCATCGCATCCGGTCCTAAGAAGTCGCAAAAGGCTTAAAAACCGGTCTGGTCTCTCTTGGTCGAAGTCGGTCGCAAGGGTGTGAACGGGCCTTAAGACGTCGAAAGAGGCTTAAAAACCAGTCTTGTCTCTCTCGGTCGTACTCGGTTGCAAGAGGTGAAAACTTAAGGCCCGTTCACACTCTTGCGACCGAGTACGACCGAGAGAGACCAGACCGGTTTTTAAGCCTCTTGCGATCTCTTAGGACCAGCTCCGCGCTGCAGCGCATCCGGTCCTAAGAAGTCGCAAAAGGCTTAAAAACCGGTCTGGTCTTACTCGGTCGCAAGAGTGTGAACGGCGCTTTATTGTATGTCCCAAATGATGTTTTTTAGTGCCAAGGAACGTTGTTTGCAAAAGCAATATTTGCTTCAATTATCTTTTCCTTTACAGTTTATTTAATTCGCATATCGCTAATACTTTTAGGCTCGTGAAAAGTGAAGCCCGCTCCAAACTCGTTTTTTTTTTTTTTTTTGAAGCAGGCAATGTGATATGATAGAAATGAGACACAAGAGTGCCCTCAACATCAGTGCGCTAAGGGACCAGCAACAGAAATGGTTTTCACGAACATGCGGTCCTCTTTCACATTGTTACATCCGAGTCCCATACAAAAGACCGTCTGCAGACAGTAGAGGGCTTTAGGGAACCGTCTTTGCATATCCGATGTAATACGATGGGTCCTCCGGTACCAGCTGCGCATATGCGAGTCTTCTTTAGTAGAACATGCGCAGTACGTACCGGAGGGTCCATCGTACCACATCGGATGTGCAAAGACGGTTTCCTAGAACTCTCTACTGTCTGATGCGCGTTCATTCCTCGTATGACGGTGCTGCGATGTTGGTCGTACAAACATGTTCAAATCCTACACATAAGTATGAAGCAAACATGCTACGAACATGCTTGAGAGCTGTCCCTAGATAATACTATACATCATCTCTGCAACAATTACACCGCGTGTGTGTGTGTGTCTGTGTATGTGTGTGTGTCTGAGTGTGCGTCTGTGTGTGCTTGTCTGTCCGTGCGTGCGCGTGTGTGTGTTTGTGTGCGTGTGTGAGTGTGTGCGTGTGTGCGCGTGTGTGTGTTTGTGTGCGTGTGTGTGTGTGCGTGTGCGTGTGTGTGTGCTTTTTGTATAATGTATGGGCAGCGTGACTGCGCCTACGAGGACGCGGCTCTGACTCAACGTCTATGTTTTAGGACTCCCAATGCCAGCTTGAAATCGAGGTCTCCGGGCCAGTAACGGCTCTTGCACTGTTCCAGGACGATGGCGGTACGGCTTCCGTTTTCTCAACAATTACTCGTTTTTTTTTATATATTTAATACCGACAGTTTAAGAAACGAAGGACGTGCGAGCACCGAACCTCTCAATGTCCCTTAATTCAGCCAATGATTAAGTTACGGCATTTGCCAATATGAACGTCGCAGAAAGAACCATCACGAAGCAAGAAGCGTAAACATAATATGCCACGCTCTGTGCTTCTTACGCTGTGAGTGACTATGCTTAGCGCAGGATCGTCTGCTTCTCGCAAACAGTTGCGATAATGTCAGAACGCCAAACTCTTATTGGTTGATTGAAAAAAGTCGTCTGCTTCCCGCGTAGCGGTTGAGGCGACGTCATATATATATAATGTGTACACCTCAGGCCCCAGGGAATTTAGCATTGAGGTCGATCCACTATCCTTCCAATCAAAGCCAATCAGTTCCCGGCACCGTTCTGACGTCGCCACAACCACTGCGCTAGAAGCAGACAACTTGCTCTCTGCATTGAGGGCGTCACTCAGCGTGGTACGTACATACTAAGTATACAAACCCGCGTAAAATAGCGTAATCTCTTCTTTATTTTTCTTTGTCGGTAGGTGTGACAGGACGAGACGTTTTGTATGGAACGAGCGACGGCAAAGTAGGGCTTATTTCAATCGAAAAGTAAGTTTTTAGAGCTCTCTCTGACGTTTTGCACTTATTTGTGCCTGGGCCAACATTGCCGCCGTCTTTTCTTCCCAATCATTACAGGGCATCTGCAACGCCGGTCTGGGAGCTGGAGGGCAGCAGTGGTGAAGGAAGTACGTTCAGTTTTTATCGGTTCCTTTTTCTTTTCTTTTTTTCTCTTCGTTACACCTAGAGCTACTCAATAAGCTACGTTCAGAGTATATATAGTGCACCTCATTGCCCGGTTGTCTCGTGGGCGTCGCAATTTCGGTGCTTAGTGCAGAATGGACACAATTGGCGATAGTGAGGTGTCTTGGAACTCGCCTCCGACTGGTGTGTTTGCCACGTCCAAAACAGGGGTCCCTCAATTTCCGCATGGTGACGTCATAGAATTGTCATGTTGTCGCCGGTCGCGACCCTGGTGCAGTGGCGGATCCAAGGGGGGGGGGGGGGGGGGTGCGGTGGGGACGATCGCCCCCCCCAAACGCCTCGCCATTTTTTTTTTTTTTGTGGAGCCATTGTTTTTTATATTTTTTGTCTTTTTGCTCGCTTTTGAAGCACATCCCTTGGTACGCCAAAAAGTGTGGCGGCAACGCGAAGGGAGTGCCGCTGTTGCTTCACTTTCAAGAGCATTCGTAGTGTTACTTATGCGCCATGAAGCCCCTGTTGTCTTTCTTTTGTACGTTTTGATCCTCCTAGACACCGAGAGGAAAATATGACTCAGGAACAACCAGGAAACTGGTACATTATTGACACACGCGTCATACAATGCTACATTGTCGCGTTTTGTCTCGCGCGTATCCCGTTACGCGAATAATTATTTCCGTAAAAAAAAGCACGCTGAACACTCAAATTTGGTCTGCATGAAGCGAATAAAACTTAGGAATGAAATTAAATTATACCTTGGTAGAAAGTCTGTGCCAACCGGGGCGTACCATAGCGTAGCATAATTCCGCGTGAATCTCGCGCGGAATTATGCACCTCTTTGACGGGCGGTAAACTCGGCAATCTCAAATCGGCATTTCTTTTTCTCCGGAAAGGACTTGCCAAAGGCAGTCATTTATGGCTCACGCAAAGTGAACAGGCTAAGGCACGTCTCAGTGATAGCTGGCACTAAACAAAAACTTTCGTTGGATGCCTTCACTCCAACTGTCGCATTTTGCCCCGCGTCTCATTTGGCCCATCTTACCCTACTTCACTTTGGACAAACGCAATCTATTAGTTTTGGAGCTTCCCCCACACGAGTGTTCGTGCGGTCGAGGTGTTTTTTGACATATCAGTAGTAGTAACCAGGCATTGTGCGCAGCTTTTATCGGCGCCCAGCATGCTCGGGCTCACAAGCGCTTAGCTTCGAAAGCATACACTGTAAAAAGTAACCGTCAAATTTACGGCGCTATACGCTAATAAAAACTACAAGTACGCCATGAAGAGGAATTATCTGAAATGCACCGTAAACGAGCAAAAAAACCGAGAGGGAAACGCAAAACTTCATGGAGCAAGAAAACAGAAAGAAAAGACGCGCTTCGCTAATTGGTCACTACACTCTAATCATGGTAACCTTTGTAAAGGTGCACGTTTTCACATTTTTGTGCACCTATAAGTTAAAGGTTACACAAATGTAACCTTTGCTAATGTAACTTTTGTAAAAGTTACAGTGGCAAAGGTTACCTCTAATTTACTTATAGAAAGGTTACAATCTCGTTAGCATTGTAACCTTTATAAAGGTATCTGCCCGCCAGAAAGTTATAGGTAACTTCCATGTGTTCGTGTAACCTTTGAGTGAAGCAACAGCTGGAATAAGAAATCCTTTTATTAAAAATGGCATTTTTGGCGAAAATTCACAAAAAGCATCCTGCTAGTTTGTGATTTGACCCGTACAAAAATAGGACAGCCCATAAAATAGTGAAAAACTAGAGAACAAAAAAAAATACTGTAATATACAAAAACGGCAATTGATTCCGAAGTATCACAATATACATAATCACAAATTCCCGAGTCTGGGATACATCAATAAAAAGCTGTGATATAAATTACGTCCATAATTTAAAGGCACTATTATCGTAAGCGGTTAGCAGGTATCGTAGCATATATGCATCACAAAGAGCGCTGTTGAACGGTGTACAAAGCACTTTAGAATCTAAGGCCATATTATATCAGTGCTAGCCGCACACAAAAAAAAGTTGAAAATTCGCTTAAAGAAAGCAAATAAACTCACGTTAAATCTCACTTCGACAGAAGCTTCGGCTTAACCAGCATGGCCTTTACATCTATAGTTACGAAACCACACTGGCACTCGTACAACAGAACCGAACAGGAAAAAAAATGACTTATGTAAAACGATGTGTAAACACAGTTTAGCTGCTGTACGATAGACATAATGAACAAAATACAAGTGCTAAAAAATAATTCAAAACTGTAACTATAAAGTACATCACAGTTGTTAAAGGGAAACTATAATAAGAGCTCTGAAATGGATATATAGGCAGCACGGAAAACACAAGTGTATGAGCTATAGAGTTGTTAATTTTTTTATGGTCTCTTACCCTATATTATAACACATGAACCTGTTAGTAAAACCTAAACCATGATTCGGTAGAATAAGGTGAACTTAAAGTGAACGGCACTTTAAAAATGACAACATTCACTGCAAGACAAGAAAAAGTATTCTGCGATTCAGAAAAAAGAAGTCAAGGAACCAGACGACATTTACTTCCCCATCTCAGGACGCAACCTATTTTTAACGGTATTTGCTTTCGAAAAGTCAACACAAATTGTTCTTCTTCGACATAATGAGCAAATTTTTCAGCCGGTTCGTGAGCAGTCCACGGGGCACTTTTGTGTCAGGTAGAGTTATCTTCTGCAGAAGACGAGCACCATGCAGACAAATCGCTTCCGACACCTAGTGCACACCAAAGCAACCTTGTTCATGTGCACTTCCCGAACATGTCGCATAAAGGCATAAAAATGCCTGCTGGTGAACCTGCACGCCACACAAACGTGTTTGCTGACCTTGGGTGCAGGTTTTGATGGCGCAGGAGCTTCATTAATGGCAAGTTGCTGGCTCATGTCTACAGGAAGGTCCGAAGGAGGTGGAGCTTCCACCCATAGTGAGCCATCTTTCGAGCAGCCAGGCTGTGCACTCTCTTGCAGCACTTCGGCAACTTCTCTCTCGTGGTCTGTGTTCCGTAGGTAGAACAAAGGGTAAAAACAGATGGGATCAGTTCACAACGAAGCGGGAAATTGCACTACTTTACTATTGGTTGCTTCACGCCGCCGATGCTGCACTGATGACTCAGTCGAGCAGGCTGGATTGCATGTTAAATAAAGCAAGGTCCATGCATACATCCATTCTGTAGCCAAGCAAGAAATATTTTCCTCGTGCGCGGAATACAGCACCAAGAACTTGTCATGCATAAATAAGCCCATAAGCATCGAAAATATGAACGGAATTCTAGAACTTACGTCTTGAACACTTATATAGCGATACACTGAAGGCTTGCGTAAATCAAGCATTAAAAGCATGCACGGTACCACTTTTCTCAAAGGCATGTGATCTGGCAGTAATTAGTGGTAAATTATTATCGTACCGGTAAAATGTAAACTTAAAAATCAGAAAGCAATAAAAAAAAAATCTGCATCGAACTAGCGGTTCATTTAGGACACAGTGATTGGCTATTAAGGCGCGACTTCAGTAAAATAACGGGATTTTTTAATATATATTTGCGAGCATGTTGCGCCCACCAACCTTTCGAACAATCAGGATGATACGGCTGTTGCACTTCACTCGGTCCATTTATCCCTGTGCCAACTATTGGTAGAATAGGTGGCACAGTAAGTCCTTGCTCTGTGTCACCTATTGGTAGAATAAAAATAAATAAATAAACATGACGGAATAATTGCACCACAAAACGAGATAATTGTTTGTCCTACACCGTTCATTCTGCACCACACCTTAAACGAGCAGGATGTTTTATTTCTTGACTAAAACAGGGATATATGCCTATATCAATTCTGCATGCCACACATTAAATATTTTCTTGTACCCTGAACGTAGTGCGAAAAGTTTCGGTGCAAAAGCCATTCCGCAAGGAGTGATAAGACGTACAGAGTTACAAAATTCAGTTACCAAAAATAATAATACCGCAGCCGTGCATTGCAAGCTTGCGCCTATGTAAAATGCACAAAAGCACGCATATCCCCACCGCGCGCGCAAGCGTGTAAATAGCAGTAATTAGTCGTGCATTACCACCACACCGTTCACTGACGACACTAGACAGCTACGGCAGGGCTCATCTACAGGCATTGCAGATAAAAAGAGCTAAATCGACACAGAGTGCCACGAGGACAGACATGCGCTCGTATAAAACGGCTCAGAATCATTTTGGTCCTAAATGCACACAAATAACGAGCTTTGAAAATGAGAGCTCGCACGTCGCTACTGCAACGGTTCCGCTAGGAAGAAACGTCACTTACCCAAATCGGTGATTCTTCTGTGAATGCTTGGGCAGTGATTGCAGTACTCACAACGAATCTTTGCCGCGCTTTCGTCTGATGGGCACACGACGACGTAGCGCTGACAGTCACACAAAGGCTCCCTGCAACTGCCGCGCAGTACACCCCACATGTCCCTGCTGGTTAGCGACATAACTGCTTCCGTGGTTTGTCGAAACAGACCGAGAGTCTTCCAACTCGCTCCGAACAGAGTATTGGCGCAAGAAATGTGCCGCCAAAAAATGGCGCTCAAACGGCCCGGGCGCACGCGAGACAGCCGCGACAGCGGTCACTCATTCCCGCCGTACTGACTTCCCAGCATGCAACACCGCTAAGCAACTCAGGCTTTCACAGCCATTGTTCTTCTTTGCTCTTCTTTTTATTGCGAAAGAATGCTGCCAGCAAGGCGTCCGAAAAAAAAAAAAAAAACAACGCAACACAACGCGAAAGAAGTATACTTCTTTCGCGTTAAAACTAAAACTATAAAAATGAAACCTCGGAGCCTTGGTGGCCTTGTCGACGCGCTCCTCTGCTGTTTCCCTCTCCTGGTGAAAGAGGGACTCTCATCAGGCGATGTTTTCTTTTTTTTTTTTTTTTTCGGACGAGAGTGCATAGGTTACTACGTTATTCATACGTTACTGCA